GTAAAAATATGAGAACATTTATAAAAACAGATTAAACCCCTGAGAAACAAAAGGAGACATTCTGAATGGCTCCACATTAATCCAAAACAATGTGCTCAGAGCACAAAAATACCTAAAAATATGAAACTGAACAGCATTAACTTGAGTTTACTCTCCAGAAAGCATAATCTGGTCTCAGATTCATCATCTTCTGAAATAAAATTATCCTGTTCTTAGGTCATTAAGGAGTTTTGAGTCTGAATTAAGTCATCTTCTTCCCACTGTCTTTTCTTCTTTTATCTTTAGATGAAATTGGCCATATTGAAATTCACAAATTCATTTACATTGCTTTTATCCGTTTTTAATTTGAATATTGTTTCGTTATAGTTACATTACTTCAAAACAAACAATTTCTCATCTTCATTTTACTTCCAACCTCAGTCGTATTTTTTTCATCCTGCCAACAGCGCCAAGCCTGGGCTCTGAAGCGACATCTTTAAACCCACAGAAGAAGAACACGGAAGCCACACGTCTGAATCTGGACTACACAAACTGATCCGGAGAAAACACCTCGGACAGGCCACGACTCAGACATATGAAAGTAATCCTCAGGTGAGAAATTGTTGATTCTAACTTTGCACCCGACGACTCACACAGAGTGCAAAAAAATCCCCAAAAACAGCATTCAGATTTGGCTTTTTGAGGCGTCTAACATAGCTTGGGAGCGTCAGGATAAAAGCTGCGTCTTGTTCTGATCATTCGTAGATGGTCAGCAGAGCCCGTACCTCGGAGGAAGAGAGGAAGGGATGGCCGGACCCAGGGATCGACAGGTAGTTTTCGCTGCCACCGGGGAACTGAAACACACAGGAGAAAACTGAGTTACAGGCCACAAGTTTCCCTTATGACAAACTAATCCTGGCTTTTGTGTTTTGTTTTATTTTTACAGGAATCAAAACAAACAAATAAAAAAAGTGTTAACTTTGACTTACAGAAATACAGAGTGGATTTTAATTCAGCAAATTTCAAATATTAAGTTGCATATTAACATGTGTCATACTGCAAACAACTGCTAGGATGCGATATTTGCAAGTATATTATAAATTAAATACCATGAATGCAATGTCCACGTCAAACTACACTGCCTGTTCAAAAAAAAAAAAAAAAAAAAAAAGATTTAAAAATCTTTTTTGGTTTTGTATCTGGTAATATTTTTATTTTTTTTACCCCTAACAGGGCTAAACAAATCCTTTGTTATCGTGACAGGGCTACTAACAAACTTTCCTAGACCAAATTTTTCAGGACGATAAATTGCCCCAGAATTTACTGCGATAAAATAGAAATATATACTGTATTTTTAGACCATTTTATAAAGACAATAGCATAAATAATGCAAGAACACATTCTCAAAGATCAATAAACAATAAATTCCAAGCAACTTTTAACACTGCAACAGGAAGACATTTTAACTAAATAACAAAAACAAGAGGAACCTGAATTAAAATGACTTATGACCTATCTGTATACAGAATTGTCCTCCAAAAATAAAAAAAACGGGGCTAGTTGAGACTGAAGACTTTTGTCACCCAGAAATCATCCTGACATCGATTTGTGTCTTGTTGCCATTTGTGACAATAGTTTCTATTAAGGCATATTTGTGTGCTAAGATGGCTCAGTTAAAGTCCAGGTTGGAAATCTGTAGTATAACTCAAAATTTGCTCAACTTACAAAAACTTGCTCTATGTTGAAATAATACAAAACGCGTTGAATTCTATAGGTATGGCACCATGTGAAATTTTTCCTGCTACCAAACCTTGGACAGTCTAGATATAAAAAAAATAATGGGTTAGCTTTTGTTGAAAAAAAGCTAAACAATAACAAAAACAAAATTCCTAAAAATATTAGTATTTCACTTGGGTGTTTAGCTTTGGTTGTAAAAAATAATAAAAACAGGGGCCCAAAAAAAAGGTGACAGTGTTACTGACTGCTGCAGGAACTGTGTTTTATCTCCTTTCACCTTGCTGTCAGAGTCAAATCCATTGAAGGCATGCGGGTCCAAGAACTCTGGATCAGCGTCGTGCTGCCCGGTTCCGTCTGTTAAATCCGAGTAAAAATTGAGGTCCATGTTTTCAGCTGGGCCTTAGCATTTACCAGTCGCTTCTCTTTGTCTGGTTTTGCAGCGAAATGTTGTGGACGCCTCCTCAGGTAGCTGCTAATGGGGATACCAGTTCCCCCCGCCGCCGCACTAGTTGTATCTGCTCGCTCCGTCCGCACTGACAGCTCCGCGGGGGGAAGCACCAGGCATGTGTCGCCCCCGGCAGCAGTGCCAAAAATAACCGGTCCGCCGCGCGAGGCTAGCCGCCGGGTTAGCGTGGCCGTTAACCGTCGTTCTTGCTGACTTGTCCCACACCGCGGCTTTTAGCCCTTTAGCCTGGCTACACCGCTACCGCGAGGCTGCGGTACTCGGACCGCCACTGCCAGCCCCGGAGCCCGTCTGTCTGCCCGTCCGTCCCTGGGCGTTTCATTCGGACTCCCTCCGAGAGTATCCACCGAGAGAAACGTTACCGTAGCCGCGAGAGGTGTGTGTATGTATGTGGGGGGTACGGTTCAAGGTGTCTGACAGGCGGAGGAAGACCGAGCGATCCGCCGTGTCTGCGACGTGTTAGCCCGGGCTAGGATGCTCAATAGATTCCCGAGACGTGGATCCGGGACGACAGGGTAAAGTTACGCGGAAGCACAACCGGATGTGAGGTTTCAAAATAAAATCAAAAAGATAACTTTTATTTATTTATTTTTCCCCCCAGAACAATCGATACGCTCTTTGGCCAATTTATTTGGTTACAATTAAATGCTTACGTTGATTTAAACAAATAACTGTAGCGAAAGCCATTTGTTGGGATTCAAAACCGCATCAAGAATTGGGACGAAAAGGGATTTAAGCGACTTTGAACCTGACATGCTTAGTACAATGATTAGCTTTAAGGGTTGGGATTTTAATGCACTAGATTCAACATTTAATTTACCTTCAGGATCAGTAGCATATTTTTGATATTGAATTGAACCAATTTGTCGATCTGACTATTTCGATTCCAGTTCTAGCGAGCCGCATGAACTGGACAAACAAACACCAACAGTTCTGCACGATGCTTCCCTAATGGTGATCAACAAAAAGAAATCAGAAAACAAAAATGTATTAATGTTGAAAAGAAAAAAAACTGGGAGGATGGGTCCAAAGAGAAATAAACAACACGGCAACTGGCAAATCAACTTTACAAGAGGTTCTTTTAGCACGAACAGCCCGTTTAAAATTGTGCATAAAATCAAGCCAGGACTTTGAATAGGCCATTTCAAAAACAATCCCTTTTTGTTTCTGCTTTGTTAGATCCAATCACAATCCATTTGGACACAAAACTTAAATCAGACAATGTCATTGCTTCAATTTTTACAAGCCATCCAGAGACAGATTATCACACTACCATTACCACGCTCGAATATTGGTGTCATTAGTATGATGGATAGAACAAGTTCCATGTTTGTCTTGTCCATTCACAAAATACTGCACCAAAACCTTTAGGGCTCATCAAGATGTATTACAGAACATATGTCTTTTTGCAGGGGATTTTTTTGTCCACTCTGTCTTACTGTTAACTAAAAGAGCCAGGAAAGGCATGGGATCCTTTATTTGTCTTTTTGGTTTCTTCCATGATCTCTCAGTTGAGAAGTCAGTGCACTCCCAGAGTAATTATCAGGAGGCCAGCCACTCCATGTTTTCTCAATTTGTGCGGCTCACTGGAGTCCCACAAGTTAAAAATTGCTCCGCAACCCGTTCCAGGCTCGTTTTCTTATTTGTTCTTGAATCCTATTGGACAAGAATCTGAGATCTTTCGGCGTACATTGTGTCACATTTAACATAAGTTGGTTCTTATCATTTCAATCAGACCTGTGCTGGGCCTAAGTGTACATTGGGTCGTACACAGCTAACACATATGATTTGATTTTCTCATTTAATATTTCACTGTATTAAAAAGTATTTAAAGATGTGAAACGTTTCTGCACCAAATATATATATATATATATATATATATATATATATATATATATATATATATATATCGTTTTATTTTGAAAGCAAGAACCGGAAGTCGCCTTTAAGAAGGTACCAGAGCCAGATATCCCAATGCTACATACGGACTGTGGCTCGACAATAAATTAGAAGGAAGATATTTCTCAGATTCCGCTTGTCGGAGCGCTTTCACAATCTGAAAGTTAAACAGGGATATTAATTAATCCACGTCCTCGTTGGATCCGAGCTAACATATTTTGTGACTAATCTAAAAGATGTTTGTTATGACCGGTAAAAGTTCAAATAAGGTAACTTACTAAAAGCCGGCCGATCCTTGGTGGGGACTTTAGTCATTTTTAAACCGCGTTCAAGCGACGGTAACAAGCAGTTAAGACGAAAAGTTATGTCTACAAGTTCGCTCTTTAATCGTAAAAGCAGTTCAGCTGAATTTTGAAACAGCATTTCCAATAAAGGGACACTTATAAATCAGAGCGGACCAGCTGATCCGCTCAACAAGGCCATCATTGTGATTGTGAAGACCAAACATCCTGTGTTACAGTTTATTAACTCCTATATTTCCGCATGAAATATGTTCAAAGCCAACCACTCTTACCTCCATCCTCACCCCCGGAATCTGAATCACGTTCTGTTTTGTTTTTGTTTTGTTAAATCCTACTTTTTAGGCAGAACTTCGCCCACAATTTCCACCAATATAACATGGCACCGGCTTCCTGATTATGCGCGTTCGAGGAAGTGACGTCGTTAGGCCGACGAAATACGCCAGCGTTTCAAAATAAGAGTGGGACTGTGCGTGACGTTAAAACGTAAAGTTTCGAACGAAACTTTACATTTTAAGATCAAGACTTAAAAATGATATTTGGATGAAACTATAAACTACATATTTCACAGAAGACCAAGTTATTACCGTGATTCATAAAACAAACAAAAATAGACAGCAATGTATTTCTTTAGAATTGCTTTATTCCCCTTTTTTTAAGCAACATTTTTTTTCATGATTTTTTATAATAATGTAATTTAAAAAAAGATCAAACTTAAGGTCTTCTTCTGCCCTTATGTACAAGCGAGGTCGTTTGCAGGAAATGAAAATCAACACAATGTAACCCTTGCACAAGAATGAAAAAATAAAATAAAAACAGCATTTGACAGGGACAAAACATCTCTAGTTGGGATATTCTAAAATTGAACTATAAAATCACAGGCATTCATTTTCCATACAGACACGTGCGCATACACACAAAGCAGAACGCGAGTGGGGTTATTTCGAGGTGTGGAATGAGATGTTTGTCGGGTATGATGACTCTCACACTGCTGATATTCTTTCACAGAACAAAGCGAGATCTGACATGTGACATCAACACATTCATGCCTCCTTTTCCCAACATGCAGTGCGGTGGTTCGTGCCACAATGGTCCAAGCTTGACCACTATTATTATCGGTGTTCGTTTCTTGCCTTTCTGAGGCAAACCGAAAACGAGTCTGACAGTTTCTGAAGAGTTACAGACACACGTCTCTTCTCATGCAGTCCACCGGGCTCGCTACAAGTCCAAAACCTCTCATCGCGAACTCAATAGACATTTTGGTTTTACATGGAGATCAATAACTATTTAACAACAAAATTAAAAAAAGAAAAAGGCAGCCCTTCTTCTCAGATATGCCGTCACAGCAACATTAGCATCCGAACCAAGCGGCCTCAGAAAGATATTCGCATCTAAACGATTAATCGATAATGATATGTGCCTCTAGGAAAATTTCTTAATTTTTTTTATTTCACATAAAGAAGTTTTGTTCTTTAAATGCTGGGACGAAATTGACAGAAGCGAGTGTGTGTGTAGGGCAGTGGGAGAGTGCACTTAGCCATCATCATAATTGGCCCAAGAAAATTAATTTGATCTTGCATCTATACTTTAAAACAATATTCCTGGGGTCCGAAGAATACTTCGTTTCTGTTAATTCGAATTATTGCTTCACATGATTGACTTTATTATTACCCAGTATTAACAGTTAAGAACAATTGCATAATTAATGAACTATAATGTGTCTTTTGAAAGCATCATTTTTAATTTGTGCTCAAGTTTACATTGAACTTAAGATTGTGGTTCATAAATGAAAGAAACCCAAAAGAAAGTTATTCTGAATTTGGTTTAAAAAAAAAACAAAAAGAAACAAAAACAGAGCTCCTAATACACAATATTAGTTTCAGACAAATAGCAGCAAAGTCTGACATTTGTGCAATAACACTGATTTTAAAGTTGCAGTATCACAAGCTTTAATGTCTACAAAATGAAATGCTGAGTTTGGTGTTCATCTGTTCCAACAGATGGAAAATGATATGAGATTAATCTGCTTTACGCCATGTGTAATTCTGGAATGAACATGTATGTGCCTTCCGAAATAATAATAAAAAACAATAACAATAATACTCCTCTTGATTCCAGACATTTAGGCCTCACACGACAAACTAACAAACGTCCAAAATACATTCTGTACAAAAAGCAAACCCTGAGTTTCATTGGTGGAACGACTGCATTGTTTTCAGACCGATCACATTTACTTTAACTGAGCCACTGCCTGAACACACCCGCTTCAAACAAAATGCTGGTCCCTTCAACCTATCAAAGATCTTCCAGGTGAGCGATTCCCACAAACACACACATACACATGCACACACATGATTGCTATGGGTTCTTGTTGCTCAATCGTGGAACTGCGTTGGCGTTCCCTGGAGTCGACATAATTGGAGTAGAAAACGAGTGCAGATGAAAAGTTGGGTGGGATGTGGACGTGACAACCAATGCTGCAGCCAGTGACGGTCTATCCCACGCAGCCCACACAGAACCAACCCATCTCCCGTCTTCTCCATGACTGGCTTGCTTGTTAAACAGCATCTTGCAGTGTCTTGTCCAATCAGGAGTAGATGGTGATGACTTCACTTCCGCCTCCTCGGACTAACAGAACGCGCTCCAGTCCTTCAGTCAAAACCTCCAGGAACTCCATGTCTGCGTTCATGAGTTAAAACTTTACAGCCTGTATTAGAAGTGGGGCTACAACTAACGATACTCTAGTAAATCAATTATTCTGAAGATTAATCGATTAATCGGATGAAAAGAGATTTTTTTCACTGAACAATTTGCTCCTTTTATAAACAAAATACACTGAAAGATGAAAAAAAAAAAAGAATTAAATACAAAAAAGAAACATTTTCTTGCCTGAAATGAAACTGGTGAAGCTAAGTTTATGTATTGAGTAAAACATATTTACAGACGAAGGTGCATTTATCTTAAATGCAAGCTATATTTTTCAGAAAATTTTCTTTTTTCGCATGCGTTTTCTCCAGTTAACGATTAATTAATCACTACATCAGTCAATGATTCTTCCAAAAATCAATTAATTACAATTAATCCCATTAATCATTTCAGCTCTCATGAGAACAATGAATTACAGCGCCAGGAGAAAGAAAGGATACAGTTCTCGTCTCCTTCCGTGTTCTTCGGCGGCCCCGGCATGTTGAGCAGGACGAGCCGGGCATCATGGGATTTGTTCACGATGACTTCGTTGAGCTTGACGGCGGTGTGCATCCTTCTGACATTGGAGTGGTCCCTTAAAGAAAAGCAAAAAAAAATCCCACAATCATCCACCTCTCTAAACCACTGGCAACAGACAGAAGTGCTTTGCTATCCGTCCTCACGGCCTGATGCTCAGCATGTCTCTGAAGCCTTCGGGCGTGGAGCAGCCGGAGTGCGCCGCTCTGTACTGGGCCGTCTTCTCTTTGGTCCAGGTCATCTGGACGCGACGGTGGTGCTCGGAGCTGCTGCTCACCGGCCGCTCCCGCTCGCCGCCGTCTGTGTCGTCCTCGTCGTCTGACCCGATGCTGGTCAGGCGCAGCATGGAGTTGCGGTCCTTCACCAACTGCGCCTGCGTTGCATACGGAAACAAACATGGACTCGGCTCGTATAACCTCTGATTCGAGCCTGACCCGTTCCTTTTTTTTCCCCCCAATGCGATTCCTCGCTCCTCTGCCACCAACCTCCTGACTCTTAACTCTCGTTTCTTTCTCGCTCTCTGCCTCTTTGTACCTGTCTGTCTCTGCCTTCTTTGATGGGGTTTGAAGTGTGGCCTTCAGTACTCCTGAACCTGGGCGAGAGATACACCTAAAGACAACACAAGGTCACCTAACCTGCTAAAAAAACCAAACACAGGCTGTACCTACTTTATCGGGAAGCTACAGGAGCACAACGCAGGTTATGGAGCCTAACTGCCAGACAGGATACAAATCAGAAGACCTCTGAACTTCAGTGGGAGGAGCAGCAGAGGAAAGTTACAGAACAACAGATCATGGTGTAAAATTATTAAGAGGAACTATGACATGAACTTTATTTACACTTTTGTGCAGCTAGTAATCTAGTCTGTATCGACTGTTGAGGGATAATGGCTGAAACCAGCTGGTTTTTGTGAAATCAGTTTAATTAAATCTGCTCTCAGAAGTTTGAAGGTCTTCGCCTACATCTAAATTCAGGCAGCTTTCTATGGCAAAGCAAGACACGGTAAACTTACATCGTCAAAACTCCAGCGCACCCTCTGAGCAAACCAGAGGCAAAGGGAGAGGATATGAAATGGAAAAAATAAAATACTTGCTACATTATGAGCCTCATACTTTTTTTTTTACCCTTTTGTTGACCCCAAGGATTCAACAGGTTTCACAAACTTAAATTTAAGACTTTTTAAGACCACTCCGAATGGAATTTCAGACCTGTATCTCCACAGAAATGGCTGAACTTCGTCCAGCCAATTGGTGATAAAGTTGCGCTTACCCAAGATGGACACCAAAGAGCTAGCTAGTTAACTAGCTAGAATTTATTGGCAGCTAGTTAGCGGTAGCCTCAACAGTCTGGAGTCATAGAACATAAAGAAGATGTCTGAGTGTGACTCGAACTTTTGCCTGACAAAAGTTCTCAAGAAAATTAAAAATACGCAGAAATACTGTGCATGCCATCATATGGATGCAAGATATCGAAAAAACATGTGACTGCAATGCTATTGATAAATATTGAAATAATGACATTGATTATTCTTTTTTCCTTTTATTTTTATATCTTGACAACTGTGAGACTTAGCATCTCAGGAAGGCAATGTACAGTTAGAGTGCCTCCTACTGGTCTGGTATATAACTGGCATGTAGACGTTTCTACTTTGTATTTCTCATTTTATTTTTTTTATTTTATGGTACCTGAAATAAAAAAATCTAAGTGGAGTAGAAAGCAAGTGCAAAACTGATCATGCCTCACAACCTAAATTGGTAATCTTGACCCAAAAACTGAGTACTTTGTATTCGCCACACTTTATAAAGACACCCTCAAAACGACAAGTGTAAAACAAAACAAAAAAAAAAAAAACATTTTCACTGCACACTTACTTCTTTTTCTCTGTCTGATTTAGAGAGTCTCATTTGTCTGAGCATCTGAGACCTCTGCTCCATCATCAATGTCCTTTCGTAGGTGTACGCACTGATGTCACTGTTATGCTGGAGACGTAGAGGAATGAAAACACTCAGATTATTACACATCTATGAGAAACTTTGACAGATCATCAACATTTCAATTCTTTCATAGATTTATAAGGTTGGGTTAGGACAGAAATGATCTCACAGCTGAGCTATAGGTACTTTAGAATGTAGAAGAGTCTACTAAATAATGAAGAATAATAATAGCAGCTTTCATTTATAATGCTTTTACATTATTGAGAGCGCAAAAAGAAAAACAAAATATCAATAAATTGATCATTCTCAGATATTTGAATATTATTAAATTAATAAAAATCCTAAAATAATTAAACTGACAAGATTTGTAAATATGGATTTTATAGAGTGTGCAATGTTTAAAAAACATGAATTCACAAAAGAAATTAAATAAAAAATAAAATTGTTGGATGCCCCCAAAAACATGGGCCCTGGGCAAGAGCCCTGTAGCCCTTTCGGACCCAGCTGGTCACATACCATCTCCACTACTTCCACCTCAGCTTCAATACGAAGGTGATACAGAAATGTTGCCAGATCCTTCTTCATCTGAATAGAGTTGTCCTCCATCTGAGCCACGGTGAAGATTCGCATCCCACATTTACGCCACACCTGGATGGAGACAGAAAATGACTCCCTCAGGAAAACATATTCATAGAAAATGGATTCATTTAATAAAAATGGTAGCATTTTTATGAAAAGGCAACCATTGCCCTTCCTTCCCCACCTTGTGTTGGCGAAGGAGAAACGGCAGCAGCATCAGCATCCCCCCGTCGTGGACGATCCACCACACGTCTATGTAGCCGTCGGTGGGGGGCTCGCTATTGCTGGGGAACAGGGAGATGTTTTTGGGCACCAGCAGAGCCAGGTGGGCCGCCGTGGTCACTCGGACCGTATCTGGAAGCAGGAAACAAAGGGAGGGGGGGTTGTCAGCTGACGGGCTTTGAGTGGAGGAAAAATAATAATAATTGCGTTTCTTCTCCTCTGTGACTCACTGATGAAGGTCTTCCAGGCCTGCGGGTCTTCGCTCTGCCTCCAGGTGTGCGGCCAGCCCATCACCACCGTGTTGGGCTTCATTCCTCCCAGGCCGCTTGACTGGATCATGTGACTGATGCCCTCGCGGGGCTTTTGAGCCACGATGCACTGAACAAAGCCCTTCACCCGTTCCTTCTCCATGAGATGCCTCAAAGTCTGAGGGAGGAGAGAAAACGGTCCAGAGGCTGTTAGCATTCATGTTAAATACAGTGCGACATCATAGGACTGGGCCCATGATCATTTATCATGATAAGAATTTTGATTTATCGCCACAATAACTTCCGACACCTCAAAAATTGTCTGTATTTCAGCATCGTTAGCTTTGTCTTTCAATATTCTCATTGTTTGTTCAATGAGAGTATTAATTAATTTGACTATATTACAGGATTCCTTATAAAAAAATGTTTTTGTTATTTTTTTGTGTTGAAGTTTTATTGACAAATAATTACTTCTTTCTCCTCATAGTACAACTTTATTCTTGAAAAAAAAAAAATCATAGTCTGGCCCTTATACAATCGTCAGTCAAGATGGCCGCCCTGGACGTGCTGACATCACTCCGGACTGACGTGATGAGTGTAAAGATGAACCTGTTCTGCAGCAAGAGCCTCTCCGTAAGTTTGCAGGAAGTGTCCTGGGACGACCGTGCCGACGATGGTGAGGCCCTTTCCTGCTTTCAGCTGGCTGGCGAACGTCAGCAGCCGCGGAGACTTAACGTGGGCGTCTTCGTCCAGTTTTAGCAACACCAGCAGTTGGGGCCTTGGAAGTAAAAGGAAATAAAACTGGATTTTACATAAATTTGTGGCCATTTGAATGCTTTAAGTGTATATCTTTTTCCATTTACGCATGAAGAAGTAGAAGTTCCTAAAGTGCTCTGCTCTTACCTCCAGTTCTTGGTGTGTGGTGGTCCCTCCTCCAGCCTGAGGAGGGCGTAGCGGGCAGCACTGAGTGACAGACCGCGGATCCCGTCTCCCCACTCCTTCTCAGCTCTAATGCACACAGAAATAAAGAAAAAGTATACATTTGCGCCGGTAAGCAGAAAAAAGAAAATGAGAAAAATGCAGTGGCGCCCCCAAGAGGTGGGAAAGGAGGGGCCCATGACCCCCGCACATCCCCAGAGAATCACGTTTATGTCATAGAAAGTCATACAGCGTCATCTTCAATGAAGACATAACTATAAAAAATAAATACATAAAAATTTGACAAATCAACACACAAATTAATACTAAATTAACTAAAACTAAATAAATTAATATTAAATCAATTTATTAAAATTAAATACTAAATGAATACATTTAAAATAAATATTCCAAATAAATACATCAAAATAGATACAACTAAAAAAATAAACAAATGATTGAATACTAAATAAATGTATTCATTATTGTTTTATTATTATTTATTTGTCTGTGCCTCCCTAAATTTTACTGTTCTGGTCTCCCGTATAAAATTTTCTGGATCCACCACTGAAAAAATGACCAAATCAAACTACTTCAAACACACACACACACACACACACACACACACACACACACACACACACACACACACACACACACACACACACACACACACACACACACACACACACACACACACACACACACACACACACACACCGGGATCTGAACCATACTGCACATGTACAAATGCATGGAGCAAATACATCACCATGGCAACATACCCATGATATTCAATGTATTTGTAGATCATGCCAGCGATCACCATGGCAACGATTGCGTAGTACCAAGAAGATATGAACATGAGAGCGAGGCAGATGATCATCCCCAGAAACGACAAGGTCCTGGACAGATGTGGAGCACAAGAACACTTCAGTCTGCATATGTGTGTGTGTGTGTGTGTGTGTGTGTGTGTGTGTGTGTGTGTGTGTGTGTGTGTGTTTGTCAGTACCAGTGGTAGTAGGAGAAGCGGGGCCTCCAGTTGGGGGTTCTGAGCAGCGTCTGCAGAGCGCAGGCCAAGTTCACAAACAAGTAACACATCAGGAAGAACCTGGAGAGACAGATAAGTAAAGCTGGAGTCTGACAGGGAGAGATTTGGCTGACAGGATGGGCGACCGAGCCAATCAGGACCGGCCGTTCAGATCGGCCTCATTGGCTCACATTGTGAGGATGGGAGCGACCAGGTCCAGAGAGGCGATGAGAATCCCCAGCTCAGCTATCAGTGCCGTCAGGAGCAGAGCCCAGGTGGGTTCGCCGTTAGCTTTCCCATGTCCAAACACCTGGAGCACAACACACACAGACACTCAGCGAGGAAAAACCAGTGATCACACCAAAGACTTTACACAAGAAATGACTAAATAAGCTCTCTAAGCATTAGTTAGTGAATAAATAATTGCTTCTAATCCTTAAATCTTTTATGCCTGTTAAGATTCTGAACTTTATTGCTCTTTCACAATAATGTGAATGTCCCAAAAAATGCTCTACTTATGCTAGCCGCATGCTAAAGATTAGCATTAACATGATTATTTGACCTTCATTGATACAGGTTATGTCATTGCTCGAAGGCAGGGCGTGGCCCACCCAGCTGTTTTCCACAGCTGTATGGTTGTCATGAAGATGAAAGGATTTCTCAAACATGCATGAGAGTCAAAGCAACTCTCCAGGTATATTTTTGGTGACATAACATTGGAATATGATGTAAAGCTGAAAACAAATTCCAATTTCTATAATACTGCTCCTTTAAATCTAATCATGTCTGTTAGCTAAACATGCCTTTATCTGATTGACAAAAAGTAAAAAAAAAAGTGTTTATAATTTGTTTGATTGCCTTTGTTAGACCAGTTCCATCTCTGATTATCAGATAAATTCAGCTTAAAATAAAAGAATTCACAGAGTTCTAGAAAGCCCTTAAAATATCTCTACAAAGCTCACCTCTAAACCAAGAAACTAAACTGTAAAACTAAACTCAAACAAAACGTGACATTGAATCCCACTCAAAGAAGTAAAGGCTTGCTTCATCACCTTACAAAAGAAAAAGAAAATAGAATGACTCCTACCCGTAGAAACGGGATAATATTGTCTTTGGCGATGGCCTGCAGGAGTCGTGGCGCGCCGGTCAGCGACTGAAGGCCTGCGCCGCATGTTGAGAAGAAGGAGCCAATCACAATGACCCAGGGAGTCGGCCAGGCCAGCGTGCCAACAACCAGAGTGCCATCAACTGACTCTCCGAACCTGCACAGGCGAGTTAGTGTATATCTTTTGGGTTTTCATAGGTAAGTGAATGATAGAAGCAGATGTACTGACTTGTCTCTGAGGACGACGCCGTCGATGCAGGCGCCAAACAACACAACGCTGCTCAGGTCTACAAGGATGCCACTCAGAAAAACAACATTCACACCAGAAGAGTCCAAACGGCTTTGTACCCACAAACTGAACTATGAGCTCTCAACCAAGGGACTTCCAGAAATAATCTGAGGCTTTTTTTTTCACATATTTGAATTACAAGTAGGACAGATTCTTCAAAACCTTGTTAGGAAACTAAGACATGATACGATACAAGGATACAGACAAAAGACGTCGTGAGGATAGCAAGGATGGTTCCGATGGGGATGGAGCGCTGAGCGTCTTTCAAATCTCCCGACCGATTTGAACCGGCCATGATTCCTGAGGAAGAGCAGGAGAATAATATTTCATTTGCTGAGCACGAAACACCTGCAATTCACTAACAATAAAAACAGAAGAAAAGCAAATAAGAACGTGCAGGCGAAAAAATAAACAAGTTACACATCAAAGTACAGTTGAAAACATTGTAAGCTATGAAGAATATGAAAAATGTGAAGAGGAAAGCAGATGAGGTCTAAAAATTCAACCAAACACGGCCCAGAGCCCATAGACATTGTGTGAAGTTCGATCTGACTGATTAACATGAATTACAGGCCTGAAGAAAACCACACATTAAATTTAATTAAGATTTCACTGCTTTTAGTGTTCATTTGTTTATTTCTATACGATATATTTATGTATATATATATATATATATATATATACAGGTCCTACATATAGGAGCCACCCCTGAATAAAATCCCTGCCTCCTCATGCCACCCTGTAGTTGTTTTTCTAGAGCCGCCCCTGATTTGATCAATTAAATCAATTCAGTTTTTTATCGGTATAGTGCCAAATTACATCAATAATTTTCTACATAAAAAGTTCACAAAAATGCTACATATTTTTAAATCAAATTGAATATGTTACCTGTCATAGACAGGTAACATATTTCAACAGTTGGTCAATAGGGAGTTTTATCAATACGTTCTTAGAGGACATTCGTGATCCTGACGTGGCCCCAAGCTGTAGAGCAAGAGCAGCAAATGTGTACCTGTGACCGAAGGGAAGAAGATGCCCACCAGCAGGGTGAAGGAGGTGGTGATGTCGGCGAACACGTACGGATGAGGCAGTGATGCTGGAGGTGACGAGTGAGAGGAGCTGAGTGAGCTTTTCTCCAGAACCTCGCCTTTGCTGATGTAGGAGCTCCACAGGTTCTCTAACAGGAGGAGAAAATTCAGAAAACAGTTGTTTTGGAGAACGTAGCGTGCCACTCCAGGTTTACTTATCAGATTCTCAGTCAACGTTTATCCCATTATTTATCATCAAGTTTGATTTCGTGCTGATATGTGTACAGTGGTGAAGGGCTAAATCATTCTAGATTATTCTTTTAAATGGAAATACGAGAACAAATATTACCTGAAATGATCCCACTGGCCAGACCAGGAATTCCTTTAATCTTGGTGAAGTTATTAGAGGTGAAGTATTCGTCACAGGTGGCGTTGAGTTCAGTGCTGTGGCAAAATTCTTCCCAAAGAAGTGTGGTTTTCTCCTCCACAGCTGGCGCAGGGGTGGAGACAATGACTGGTCCAGCTGTGCTGTTTTCTAACAGCAAGATTCAGACACATTAGCACAAGCCAACGGCTAAAACGCGCAACGACTCGAAGGAGACGAAGCGTCAACCCACCATAGCTGAGTGTGAAGTTGCCGTCGAAGCTCCACGTTGTGTCTTTGATTCCCACCGGGACGGTTTTATTACACTCGACGTGACTGCTGATGGTTCTGTTCCCCAGCATGCACACGCTGTTGGAAACGAGACCCGGCAGTCAATAACGACACCAACTAGTGAACGGGACAGGGTTGAAAATCTCACAAATAATACGGTCGCGTTGCAACCACAAACTTATTTTATTGGGAGTTTACAAGACAGACAAACGCAAAGTGGTGCATAGGTGTGAGGTTGAAGGAACATCTGAAAGGTTTTTTTTACATAGAACCACTTTGTGTCGGCCATTTGCAATGAATCCCTACACAATCTGACAAAATGAGGAATAAATTAGAATATTTTAGTAATGTAGAGTCAGCGGTGACACCAAGAGGGGCCACACTTGAAGAATGCTGGCAAGAAAACAGAGTCATCTACTTCAATGAAGACAAATGGAAAACAATCAACTAAAAAGAAAGACAGGAAGAAAGAAGGAAACAAAGGAAAGGATCTTTTTTTTTTTTTATCTGTGTCCCCCTAAAATGTTTACTGGCTTGGTCTGGCCAACCCTATTAAAATTCCCAGGGGGCGCAACTGGGTCGGCGCACTTACTCAAAATTACGCTCGTTGAACGCGGACTCAAACGCTCCGATGTAGATGGAAACGATGGAGACGATGACACAGGCCAAGAAGATGGAGGCCAGCTTGTTGACATACTTCACACCGACAAAGACGAGCAGGGACATGAGGAGGAGACAGATGCTGCCGTAGACCCGCATGTTGTTCAACATGGCCGCCCCGCCTCCTTTAAAGATTTCCGCCTCAGGAACAATGTACATCTGGGAGACGGAGGGGGAGCGGGGTTAATATAAGAACCAATATTTTAGACTACAATCAAATGATTCAGGAATGTAGACAAAAATGCAAACACTGGGGGGCGATTCGCAAAAACGAAGCCAAGCCCTACCAGTAAGATCTCGATGGCTCCCAGGATGTACATGGCCCCAGCGAAGGTGGTGCCCAGGTAGAAGCAGATCCCCACAGCCCCTCCGAACTCTGGACCCAGAGAACGGCTGATCATGAAGTAGGAGCCTCCAGCTGGAAGAGAGTGTAGAGAGTTAGGGTACACAAATAGTGGAGGAAGTTAAATGAACCACAGTGTGTAGAAGGGGACAAAAATGATGGAAGATAAGCAGAAGAATTTAAAATCATTTAGAAAAGACAGTGTTACAAGGGTATATTGGAATTAGACAATATGTATTTTGGGGAAAAACATTTCTGAAAATGACATTATGAGTATTTTTGTGTTTTTAGAAAAAGATACTATTGAGATGCAGTTTACTTCATTTGTTTTAGGCAAAATTTAATTTAATAATTTATATTTCTTACCCTTTCTGTCATCTCAAGGTTTAATAACACATTTTTTAGTTCAACTAAAAAGTCAGATTTGAAAATCAACTAATTTACAGGTTTATAGTTTTAAATATGTCACCAACACATACAGAAAATGAAAACGTAGGATCAGGAAGAACAATTTCCCCACTTATTTTCTAGCTATGGTATGAATTGCAGCTTGAGTGTTTTCACATTTTGTCCCCCTAACAGCAAACTCTGTATAAATGTGACAGAAAACCGCACAAAAGTGCCATATTGGGAAGCAGAACTTAAATGGCACGCGGTTTAGAAATTTTCTTAGAGATCTAAAAAGGTTCAGGCCTACGTTTCCTCGACTGATCTTATCAAGATGGTTAAAACTAACAGCACCTCTATTTTTGCTGACAGAATTGTAAAACGGACAATAGTAGTACAGGATGATATAACACATAAAGAACAAATCTGAACAACTAAAAGAAAAGGAAAAACAGTGTTTGGTGTTCAAACTGCAAACCTTGTTGCTGTGAAGATTGACACACCCCTTTCCCAAACCCTGGGGAAATTGATTCTTTACCTTACTTAACTGGCTGTGTAGGAGGATATATTTGTTTATGCAACACTTGAGGAAGAGAGAAACCACTTCTGCAACAACAAACCCTAGAATTCCAGCTTTACAAAAGCGTTCTTGGGAACCAAAACAATAGGTTGGGAATGATTGGGAGATTAGAGATGATGGGATGGTAAATGGAAACATATTGGAGTGGCCTACCCAGGGATGAGGCATGGCCAGTAGGTGGTACTAAGGTAAACATAGGTTTTAACATTGGTGAAGTTATGTGATGCCACAAGGTTCAACTATATGTCTCAGATATAGTTGTGCTCACACAGTTTTACTCAGAACTGGGAAATTCAAACTTCTTAGTTGGAAAATTCAACTGGAACGCCCTCTGAAGTCGGACTTCCATATACAAAACCCCTAGTTAAAACTTTCAAGGCCGACTTTGTGTTTCAATATGGCTGCTCCTAGCATCAACAAACATGGTTACTTTACAAGACACGCATGTAAATACAGGTATTGCAAGAGGTATTGCACACAATGTCTACGGGCATCGCCATGTTGAAATTCCAACTTCTTAACTAGACTTTTAGTCACTCTTTTACACGTGTCTTGTAAATACATGTTTTAACCACAGCTTACTGCTGATGCGAGAGGCAGCCATATTGTAATGCATAACACGTCTTACAAGTTGTTACTGGGGATTTGCTCCCAGTTTTCCAGTAGGAAATCTGACTTCAAAGGACATTCCAGTTGACTTTTATGATTGGGAAGTTGGAATCTCCCAGTTCTGAGTACAACTGTAAAGCAGCATTAATCCTGTAATGTATCCGGGCGCATATTTATTTGCATTTGACATAAAACTACATCAAAGCCGTAAAGAAAGTACCTCGAATGAGGAATAATGTCAAGACAGTGACAGCATACATAAAAAGATCCTTCTGTCTGCACTTAGAAGGATAACTGAATAATTTCTGGCGCCGAGTTGTATTTGGAAAGCCAAACTTTTTATATATAATCCTTTGAATCACCCATAATAAACATGGGAACAGAGTGAGCATGAGAACTAAAAGCTCTTACGGCAGTGCAGAGTAGATAAACTCAAGCTGCATATTATCCAGGTTACATTTGATCTACTTTTATTTTTTTCAAAATGTGAAGATGCTACAGGCATGAGAAAAATCACATTACTTCAACATTTTATTTAATACACCAATCTACACACACTGTTGAAAGATAAGTCAATGGAAGGCATTTATTCTATCTAGGTTTTAATTTATGAACACAGAGCAGACAAGCAGCACAGAAACGACAAAAATCCCTTCAGATTGGGAAGAGAACTAAAGGGAATACCTGGCACAACTCCATTGGTGGCGATCGCGCTCATTGAAATCGCAGTCAGCAACGTCTGGAGAGCAGAAACAGACCCACAAAATGTTACTGGAAATGTTGCAATAGTCTCCATGAACGCATGCCGACACAGAAATACTGACGCAGCAGCAGCATATGAAGACGATGCAGAGGGCCTGCAGCACCCCGGCGGTTCCCACCACCCAAGTCAACCTCAGGAACAGGATGACTCCGAAGATGTTTTGAAGGCAAGGGAGGTAAACGCCCATGAACGTCCCCATCTGTGGCGACTGAAACAGAGACAAAGTATCCGTTTGGAATTTATCCTTTTTGTTTTAATCTCTTGGTCCTAAATGAAAGCAGGTTCAATGCTGAGTGCAAAAGGAAAGTTTTTCCAGGTGTGTTCAAATTCAAACTGTCTAGTTTCACTTTAAAAAAAAAAAAGAATGAGAGCATGCTCTTATTTTCATGTCTTTAATTTGGCCTGGTTACAAGCTAATCTCCAAGTGGTGTGGCAATATTTTGGTGATGCTTGTACTGAACTCACTGCAGAACCAGAAAGGAAGATTAAAATGATTTTGGTTGAACTCCCCCTGACCCCAACCCACTTCCTACTGTCTGGTGTAAAGACATGTCAATCCAAGATGGACATACTATGAATGGCCACACAGATCGTCTTGTCTTGGATGGATGCAGCTTATCATTGAGTGCTGCAGTGTACTCCGAGTTCAGGTCTCAACGCCCTTTGAGTCATAGATATGATTTGTCTAGACAACAACTCGATGAGCAATGCAGGAGAGGATGAGCTCATTCTAAAAGGGATCCCCGCTGCTTTCCACCATTTCTTCAAGCAAATTCAGTCACATTGCATGTAATTTGTATTAGAAAAGCTTTATTGTGCTATTATTTCACAGTAAACTTTAATTTTCAAGATGATTTGTAGCATTTCGCACCTTGCTGGCTTTCTTCTTCTCCCCGATGATCTCAGCCTCCTCATGTTCCTTTGCTCCCTGCGTCAGGTTGGTGTAGTTAGCCAGGCGGTTGAGCAGAGAAGACACCTTCGGCCTAGTGTCCATCTCCTCCTGTTGGTCATCGAACGATAGTTGGAGAGGTCACAGTGTGAGAATGGGGCGATAACAGTGGTGGGGACATGAAAAGACAGCGATGAGTCGGGAACAAAGAAAGGATCAAAGTCAAAAGCAGGAAGATAAAGAGAGAAAGAGAAGAGGATGGGCGTTAAACAATCAAGAGGAAGAAAAAACCTGACTGTTAAGTATGTTATGGAATACTATACCAGAAAAAGGTTAGAGACATTTCCAGAAAAGCTGGTAATCTATACAAGCTAAAATTAGCTGCACCTACCATGCAGCTTTTTAGTGCAAGTTTGGCAGACAGAAAAAAAAAAATACCACACACAAGCACAGAGATTTTTGTCACCATCGGTGCTACAAGACAAAATGTTGCAGAAAACTTAGAATGTTTAACATAAAACAACAGAGATAATCAGTTTGTCTGTCAAACCTCAAATAAGGCCAAGTTCCTGTCGAAAAATTCGTCGTCATCCATCCCATGACTGTTGATGTAAACACTGGAGATCTTAGAGTTCCCATCCCCTGAACAGCAAGAAAAGAGAACACACAAACACAAGACCGGAACTTTAATATGAGCACACAGAGTCGAGATCCCTGTCTTTTTGATTCATCGAGGTCAAGCTGTACGGATTTATGCAGCACAGTCCAATGAAACGCTGTCACCGAATCCCTTCCCAGAGCCATCAGCACTCATCCCTGCACCATCAGCAGCGCTTGACTCAGCACCATCACTTCCCTCTTTGCTTCCCCAAGCTAACGCCAGCAGTCGCCCGCATGCTGCACTTTGGGTCACATAGAGGTGCTGGAAAGTGCAGCTGGTATTCAGCACGAGTCTTTTCGCATTACAGAAAACAACACTGCAACATTAGGTGCAAACCAAGCAATGCGTGTGTTTTGGTTGAATACAGACAAAACATCAGGGTTCTGACTGTGTGAGAAAAAAAAAAAAGTTTTGAGACTTGGGAGCATTCCTGGCAAGCAAACCTGCTCAACAGGACGGTCCGGGTTCAGAGATTCATCTACGTTTCTCAGACTGCATCTACCGAGTCAGGCTCACAGAGCTGCAGCCTGATCACACCAGTTCTTCATCGCAAAGAAGAACTGGTTACGACACAAACTGCATGTCCTGCGATGAAATCCTTCTGACACGACTGCTTGCTCAACCATCAGATTCATAGGTGTTGTAGTTTTATTAAGCCGTAACAACGCTTAAATTCAGAACTACAACAGATGGCAAGAACAACAGAAAATGTCTCAAAAAAAAAAGTTTGAATGAAATGCAACTAATTGAAATCTAAAATTGAGAACCAGATATTTAGACGTTTGTTTTTATTTTTATTTTTTTTTTTGTTTTGTTTTTTTGCTTATTTCAGAAACTTTCAGGAAGAGCTGAAAGTAACCCCAACTGATACTGCCTGGAAACATATATTGGCCAAGCTAAGAGTCAGATTATGGACCTTATTGGTCTTCAATGTGCTTGACAGGCTATTGATGTTATGTTACTCAATGTCACGGCTGGTGAATGTCAATAGATGTGTGACCATGCTGGTATTGGTGACAAAAAATTGATAAATTCTGAAGGTGGAACGTGAGCAAATACTAGTAAATGTTTATTCACCAGCAGTGGCTCATGCTGAGGAGCAAGAGGACAGCAGGAAGGAGGTCAACAGGGTTCAGTGTGTTGAGGAGTTTCTGTGGCTAAAAGGAGGAATTGGTTAAACATTGTAGCTGCATCTGCAAAAAAAAAAAAAAAAAAAGAAATGGACCGAGTGCACCTCTACTTTTCCACTTTTCTTTTTCCCCCATCAAATGTGACAACATCTTGTAGGGATGTTTTTTTAAGCTAAATAATTAACACAAGACACTGCACTTCTTGTAGGATCTGGTGACACTTTGTGTGATGCTCCGTCTGAGATACTACAAGTGATGACAGTCACTATCCGCTGTGTTAAAATTGATGAAAGTGTAACGGAGCAGAATTAATTTTTTCAATTCTCTACTACTGTCTGCTCAGAGCCACAGCTGCTAGACCACGTGTGGGTGAACCCGAGGGGAAAACGGCTGTTTGTCTCTGAGAGCGTTCCCAAACAGAAGGGCTCCTCCGCCCAGTAACTGTAATGGTGTCAAAAATAATGACTCGTAGAGGAAATAGCTGCTCAGCCATTCGCTCTGACTTCTCCCGTCATTACTTCAGGAACCTGACTCAGTTGCTTCAGTAGCGCCACTCTGTCAGCAATTTTTCTTCTTCTTTTATTTTGGGACACATAGAGACAGAAATATGGACAGGCTGTAGTGTCGCAGCGGCCCGATCGAAACGGATTAACCGTCTCAATGTCTATTTATGGAAGCTTATTAAACAGTGCGGGGCATCCTCATAACAACGCGAGTGCTTAAGTGGATCAGTGGGCTAATACAGTTACATCTCACTGAGCCAGTGAACCTATCACACATATTCTTACTTGCTGGTAAATACCAGCGTATCGTCCTCATGACAACTACTGACTTAAATTAGCCAGGAGGGGAAAAAAGCTCCCATGAATTTTACTAACCGGGCTGCTTAGTGTGACCGATCTGGAGTAAATAAAATCCCAGTGAGGCCACATAGGAGAGTGGCATTTATCGGTGAGTCCGATCTGACCGGACTAATTAACGTTAATTGAAAGCCTGGGCTCGAAGAAACCCTGACATATTATTTTTATTAAGATTTGACAGCTTTTATTTTTAGGCTATAATTTGAGTGAGGTGCAACTTCTCCTGTTTTTTAGCTTTCGTTCAATGACTTCCAGCTCCATTTTGTCGCTTGTTGTGACTGCAGAGTGAGTCGAGTGCAAATCATCTGGGGTGTGTGATTGATAGGAGTGGAAAAAGGCAGAGAGTATTGTGCAGTGCGCTGTGCTTGTTACATTAGCTGTGCTAATGAAATTCTGCACCTTGATTTCTTTCTTTTCTCAACAAAGAAAACTATCTCATCCTTTATTTATGCTATAATAAGTAGATTGACATAACTTTATATCATGCATTTAATCCTAACATGCCACAGAAGCCTGAGCCCGATCAGACCCAACCATTGAGTGAATAAGTTTGACCTGAGAAATTTTAATCCAAGGACAACCAAATAAAACTTGTTCAGAGCTGTAAATGTCACAAGACTTTTTAAAAAAGAAAAACATTTTAAAGAGCTTTAGGAAATTTCTTGGCATTTTTAAAGCATTTTTTAGGATTTGAAAAATAAAGATAAACATAAAAAGAGTATGCAAACCAGAGCTTAAAACATATAACTGGTCCTGTTTTTAAAAACATTAACTGGTCCCTTTTAAGTTTTAGAATAGAGATCTCTATGCAAAATCAACACCTGTTTTTCCCAAAAGATTGAAAGAATATAGAAAATCACATGATTTACTGCTTGTTTCACAATTTTGATGCAAAAATAAGAATTTAATAGGCCAGTATTATGCATTTTCCAAGCACACAATGCCATTTTATAGCACAATCAAGTCCCTGTGTTAATGTCAGTTCTTATAAAAATGTGTTATGTCAAATATGACTTAAAAGAAATTTTACGTCCTTATTTAATTCCTTAAAATTGGGCATCTATCTCTTTAAGAAACTCCTGCTCTTTCTGAAACTCCGCCTTCAGGAAGTCAACACAACAGGGCTTCTCTATTAACCCTTTAACAACGTTTTTACCAGCGTTTCACTGAGAAGCAGCAACTATGATGACCTCAACAGATCCACAGTTCCACCAGGTGTTTGCTAATATGTTTGCAAACGGACTAGTCTACTTTGCTGCTGGCTAGTCTGAAGGAGCTGAGTGGGGAATCACGGGCTGCTCTGTGAGGCTCGGAAACTGCAGCGGAGGAGCTTTGTCCTCGAATGCGGCGCTAGATCCACCCAGCCGTTTTTTTACACAGCTGAATGGTTGCTCAAACAAGTTTGAAGGAATCAGAACAACACTTCAGGTATGTTTCTGATGAAGGAATAACATGATGACAAAGTTGACTTTACCCAATACTGCCCCCTTTAGTACCTCATATGAAAATGAGAAAATTTGTAAAAATAATTTCCAGGTTTACCCTGGAGGCTCAGTTGAATCAAGGTCTGTACTTTGAGTGGGCCGCTCTAACACATAAATATGTTTTGATCTAAACTATTCAACTGCAGCTCTGATGGGATGTTGGGGTCATTTTACAGCTGAAATGTCAACCTTGAGATTGGAGCTTTCCTCCACACAAAGCATTTTGCATGTACACAAAAATATATATTTTCATGCACATGTTTATGTGAGATAATAAGCATGCAAGATGATTGCTAAATTATAATCACAATGTTTAAATATTTAGCACTCCACTACGCCTGTGAGAATGAGTGTGTGCGTTTCACCTTGGTCTATGCTGCTGCGGTCCGGCGTTTCGTTCCCTCCCATTCCTCCAAACGTCGTCCCACCTGCGGACCCCTCGCTCACTGGGTCGCTGCGATTCACGCTCTCCCTGGAGCCGAAGCGAACATGGGCAGACGGACGGGAGCTGATGTCGGGCGACGTGTCGGACATCCCCGGGAGGTCCTCGGCCTTGGTGGGCGTCACGGTGAAGCGGACCGACGACATGGCAGGTGGCTTAAGAGCAGGTTGCGGGACAGAAAACTAAGAAAGTGGGAGCACGGGGGGTAAGGACCAATCAGGGAGGAGCTGGCAGCACTGTGCTGACCTGAGCTAGGCTATTTCCCAGCTGATGCAGAGGTAACTTCTACCTCTATGGTTTCTCCTTTTGGTCATGAAATACTCCATTGAGGCAAAAACCAGGTTCGTCTTGAACCTTCGGGTATCAAAGGAAATTCTGGTCAAAATGTGGTTGTTTCTGGAGAGATGCTAGCATATAGCGACGTGATGGGAACCAGAATGTGGATTTGTCTTGTCTTCTCAACTCAAAGGGTTTTTGAACAAGACATAAGAAGAGTCTCCCACAAAATGCCTTCCATCGTTGATTACATCCAGGACGGTAGAGGATAGACAGAGAAAGACAGAGAGAAACAAAAAAACAGGAGAGAAAAAAAATGAGAAGTCTGATCTTTGCAAGTGAAATAAAAACATTTGCTCTAAAATAAACTGACATGGGAGTTTCGCTTTTTGTAAAATCGGTAGCAGCAACACGCAGCACCGTGTCATGTGTCTTGTGGAAGACAATCAATTTCAGATTTCAACAATACCTCCTCTGTTTGACCATGACCAATGACTAACTGGAAAAAAGAGCAAGTACACTACATTCATGTGGCATTCATCTGACACGAGGCAAACTTCGCTTTACCTTACATTCTACGTATATAACCAAGCTTTAGTGAGAGTGTTATCATCCTGACAGAATGAGTGTCTGAGGTGTAAAACAACCAGGAATGAACAGTCAGAGCACAAAAAAAAAACTGAGCTTCAATTTATATGATCAAAAGCTAAAAAGATCAGTGGATATAGCTGAACTGGGATTTTCCCCCTCTCTCTCTCTCGCTTTCTTTCTTTTAGACTTGGAATATAATTTAATAATTAAAGGAGAGCGGTTCTAACCGGTTATACAGGTTGTTCCTATTTCCTTTTTTGTTTTTGAAGAAATGTTAACTAGTCTGTCAACATTCAGGATAGGGAGGGCACTGGAGAGTTCAGCTTGCAGAGGCAATGCAGGTTGTTCCTATTTCCTTTTTTGTTTTTGAAGAAATGTTAACTAGTCTGTCAACATTCAGGATAGGGAGCGGGGCATGAGGTGTATAGAGCAAGGCAGTAACAGATAGAATACCCCTCTGACAAGTTCAGACTAAAAATTAACTCCTAGATGAGAGGAATTTCTTATTTCCATTTTCAGATGGGTTGGAATTGAAAACAATTGGAAAACTGTGACTTTCTTTTTTCTCTAGGGGAAAAAAATCCCCCTGTGTACAACGCAGCTTGTGCACAGAACAAGAAATATTCAAACATACACGCTACAAATACACAAGGGGAAATGGTCAGTGGGATGAAATCTGACAATTTTCAGCTTTAAGAAATATTAAATATCCAGCGTTTTAACAAACGAATGCCTCATGCCTAAACTCTACCAACTCCTTTCAGCATGGACGTTGCTACTGCAGGAAGAAGACTCAAAATCAGCAATTTTCAAAGGCGATGAGGTGCTTAAAAACTGAACTTCTTAGTTGTGAGAAGCGACGTGAAAGACAGAATTTAGTTCTTTAAAATTTCATTTTTTCTGGCTACGAAAAGAGACGTTGAGTCAGATTTATGCCTTGGGGAAGTTTTTGCTGACTTGGCAAAAGAGTGAGCTGAGCGAGTCGGTTTTCGAAGATACAAGGAAGGCAGCAGAAAGTTGCTTTGCTTTGTTGTTTTGAGCTTTCAACCTTCAACGTGTTGGCACGACATTTGGATCTTGATTCTCTAAAGATCTGGCACACACAGTGATTTATGTTTATAGTTAAAGTTCACGTTAGTTGCTAATATAAAGGATGAATTCACACCAAATGACTTGCCTTTTACCAATAACAAAAAGTCATTGGAAATCTGATGCTTTCAATTTGTTCTCAGGCCACACAGTGACATGTGAAAGAGAACCGCGCCAACAGAAAATGTAACAAATGTTGCAAATCCTGGACCTGAATCAAACTAAGACTAGAAGGTGTGCAAACACTTTAGGATTACAAAGAAAACTTAAAAACAACACGACCACTAACAGTAAGAACTCTAGGAAAAAAAAAAAAAAACTTCTCACAGCTGTCATTTATATTTCTTAAACCAAAGTCAGAATTATTCGTCATCTGTAGCTCTAGGACGGGTCAGAACTTCACAGAAACTGGAGCTCTGCCACCCCTAATCGGTGCATGTCTACTACAAACAGAACTGAGCGCTTATGGCCGGCACGCCTAAAAGAATCTGCATGAAACATCAGGAGAACTGAGACTGCTGTATGAAGAGTTGGGAGGGTGGGGTACAACACTTGTGACTGACTGCACTTCCTCCTGAACCTGAGGCCACCCAAATAAGCCCGAGGAGGCGATTACTTGCGTCAACAAGAAGTCTAAAAGTGTCTAACCAGAGCTGACAGCATGATTCAAGACATTTTGTTCTCATTTCTGACAGCACTGATTTCTGTGTACTCTCAAAGTCTATGAGTAATGACATGTTTTTATTATTATTATTATTATTTTTTAGACATCACTCTTTTTTTTTGTATTTTAGGTGCTCAGAAATGCTGCAGTCAAACTGTCAGGACTTCTTCTGGCAACTGGGTGCAATATTGTTACCCATCTGGCTGTCAAATCCTCTTAGGCCTCTGTTTCTCAAAAACAGCTGCTCCAAATCCCACTCCACAACCCCACAAACAAAGGCAGCAGAATATTTATATATATGTGTGTGTTCATCATGTTCAGTGGCGACGATTATGTCACTCAAAATTGAGCAGATATCATCTCCTACAGCTGTTAAGCTCTTTAGGATAAAGTCAGTGATGAATATTAGATGCAAACTGCGGTGGATGTGATATGTGTTAGACCGGGGACAGTAGCAGTCACATTAATGCTGGACATCCATTTGGGTCCAGTGCTGCTGCTGGTTTTTCGACCCCGCCATTCAGCTGCCATTCTAAGCCAATTAAGCTAGCTATAATAATTCTGGCTTGAACCGGTCGGCAAACGCGTCCCTTTTCAGCAGAAATGGTTATCCCTGTTGTGTTACATTGTGTCGCCTCCAAGTCAATGCAATGAAAAACTGCGCCCGAGTTTTAACGCAATACAACCGGACAAAAAAAATGTGCATAAATGAAAATAACGCAGGAGAAGCGCTTTCAATTTCGACAAAAGAAAATCTGACGGGTTTAAATGCAAGCCGTGTTTTACTTTAAAGTCGTCTTTCATAACTTTTGTGAACCCCGGGAGAACACGTAAGGTGTTTCGCCTGAGACAGCCGCCGGAACAGCGCTGCGGTGTCGGCTGAGGAAGGGCTTTCGGTCGGTGCGACTAGCCTAGCCACGCCGCAGACAACCTGTCAACTGGTCCGGAGCTCCACAGAGCTCGCTCACAACGACAGTGTTTCCCGGTCAAATACCTCACCATTTACCCGCTAGTCGCCTTAAACACATACCTGTGCCCCGCTAAGTTACCTTTGTTTTCAGTTTTTTTTAAATCTGTAAGCGTTCAGCTCCGTGCCGGGGTTTCTCCGCACATTTATTCCAAATGACCCACCAAAAAAAAAAAAAAAACACAGCACGCGACTGTGCTCATCGAGTCCCAACTTCCTCGCCGTCGCTCCATCTCGTTTGCGCATGCGTGATTCTGACCTTGCGTTGAGACGTCTGGGAAATGTAGTGTGGATACACGTTCTGAGCGTAATTGACTGTTTTTAAAAAGCCTAATACGTGTTCAAAGTTTGTTAGGCCGTTGTTAGAAAGAGTTTTACTGAACAAAATGGCTCGTGAACTCCTGTAAGGTGTTTCAAAAACAACATAAGAGTGTGATGTACCAAAACAAAGGCCATGGTAAGGTTTTAGACATATTTGATTCAAGTAAATGCATCATGTCAATTAATCATCGAACCATTTGAGAAAGAAAAAAATGTATCAGGTAAAATATGAATATTTAAAACTGATCTTTTTGTGACAGTTGTGTCAGGTGTTTTAAACACATCACTTGTCAATTTGTACCTGCCGAAGTGTAGACCTAGCAATAAGTTTAAAAAAATATATTTTTTTGGGGGAAGGGGGAGAGGGGGGAGAAGTGGCACCAAAACTGTCTCCAGGAAGGGGGAGAGGGGGGAGAAGTGGCACCAAAACTGTCTCCATCCCAGGGACCCTTATTCTTCTAAATCCAGCCCTTCTGAAAGGATGTATGTTTTCTGATGCAGAATGTTTGTATTCCACACCCCTTACAATTAATATTCACATTTCAGCCTCAGATCTTTGCTTGAGTTAATGTTTCAAGTAGCTACAAAAACTTTTTGTCAATCTGCATTTTAGTCTGCAACTTTAACAAGTTTTTTATGGCAAAACATAGAGAAAAGACTTTGAATCACTAATTACTTTTAAAACCCTCAACTTATTTTAATTCCCACAAGAAATTTCCATAATTTTCCAGACTGGACTGCATTCCAAAAGACAACTAAGTAAAAAGCATAAGCAAAATTTATTGAGTACATACAATCATAACTAGGACGTAAAACCAAAATAATCCAAGTTGTAGCTATTGCAGCTCTTAATCAAGTCTTTCTGAATCCAACCCAGGAGCTCGTCTTCCTCTTGCGGGCCCAGCATCACGTCCATCACAAAACGGGCCTGGGCTGCTGCGTGAGGAGGACCCCAAAGCGTTTCTTCACCAGCACCCGGTGCCGGGAGAACTTGTCGTCCGGAGAGAAGCGAGCCGGGTGGGCCGAGCTGGTGGGCTGGCCTTCGGGTGTCGCCTTCTGTTGGTGGATAACAAGGAAAAGTATGAGAGGACCTGGACAACATGTACTGTCTAAAAACACAATGCGAAGTGACATGCATGTATGTGATAGGAAATAATTCTACTTTTTGGGTTGACTTAATTGTTTTGCGGTTGCTTGCAATACCTCAAAAACCCAATAAAGTATAAATAAACAACATATACAGAGTTAGAGCTAAAGGCTAACGTGGCTTCTTGAGCTGTTTGCGTCGTCTCTTTATCTCACTAAGTGCACCATATGTCATAAACTATTTACTTTTACGACTCTAAAAACATAGTATATAATATTTAAAAGCGGAAATGAAACTTGAGCAGAACAAAATGCTGTCAGGGTGTTAAAATGTTAAGGTTAGCGACGTAAACAGGAAGCTAGCCCTACCTTTAGAGTGTAGACTCGGTCTCCGTTCTCATTTAGATAATACTGCAGAAACATCGCGACGAAACGGTGCCTTTGGGTTTTTACGCGTTCAAATGAAAGCAAACAGACTTTTCAAGTCTGTAAAGTCCAAAGGCTTTCGGTAAACGCGTCGTTGCTACGTCTGAAACCCACGTGCAGCGAAGGTTCCTTCAACCCTGCTCAGGAAAGGTGGACATCCGGCTGCGACCGCGGAGCATCCTGGGAAATGTAGTACAGAAGTAAACCGATAAAGTTCAGTGTTCGGTAACTTTACTTGAAAGCACATAGATAACTGGTATAATTAAATTAAATTTAATTAAATTATCCTTGTCACAACTAAATAATTAAACACAAAAGACAAAAGGAGGGGACAAAAGGGAAAAAATTGTATATAGGGTTCTCTTTTTAAATATAAATATTCCTCCACTTTAATTCATGAGAAACAGTCAATGGAATGCTTCTGAGTGAAAACAAGCCTCAACTGTTTATATTTGAATTTAAATGAATGAATGATGAGTCCAGTTTTAAATCCAGCTGAAGACAAAGAATCCCCGCCCCAAAAAAGGTAAGCCCATGAAAACCGATTCATCAACTACTGTTGGCGTGCTTTGAAGGGAAGTATTCATTTGAACATATGAAGTGAAACTGCAGAGGATTTAAATTTCATTTAAATTGCCATCTAACTAAAAAAACAAACAAACAAAAAAGTAACTTGCTCAGAAGAAATGAAAAAGGTTCCATCACCCAGCAGCATAAATTTGCACACCTTTAAACTAATTCTTGTCAAAGAAACTTTTGATTCTGATAAATTTGCCTGTCGGCATGGAACATGTGCATTGAGGAATAAGGAGATTGTCCGTACAGTAGATGCAGAACGCAACCACCATGTCTATACATGGATAGTGCACATTTTTACATCCACACTGGAAACTTTTCAGGTGGTTTCTCTTCTAAACTCACAGTTGTTGTTTTTCTGTCTTCAAATGTCAGTGTATGTTGCCAGAGAAGAGCCCAAAAGTCCCTACAACACACTGGAAGGTAATAAAACAGCCTCACAGAGTTATTTTATTAAAAGTATTATGTGAAACAGACTTTTTTAAACAAAAAAATGTTTACATTTATGTTATTATTCCCTCATGAAAAAACATGCCTGCAGGGTTGCTTTGATTTTTCCACACGTTTGAGAAATCTGTTAATCTCCCGTGGCAACCGTTCAACTGTGCCAAAGGCCTAGTTGAGACCTAGTGGCCCATTTGAGATTAGCCTCCTCCTCAGAGCTGCAGTTTTCAAGCCGAGCACCCCTGCCTGCTCCTCTGCTCCTTCAGACTAGCCAGCAGCAGTTAGCGAGCATCTGGTGCAACTGCGCCAGGTGTCCCATTAGCTGGTAAAAACAAAAACAAAGTTAAAGAGTTAATATCGGAGCCATGTTGTGATGACTTCCTGAAGGAGTTGTTCCAGTAAGAGCAGGAGCTTCTTAAAGAGACAGAGGCCCAATTTCAAAGCTTTACATAACAGCCATATTTAATAAATGCAGCAATTTTGTAACAACTGAAGGTAGCATAGTTACTTCATTGCTTTGTAATGAAGTAACATTTAATAGTGTTTAATATGTTTAATTAGTAAAACATATAATACTGAGCCACTTCAGTATTATATGAAGTGGCTCACATAGTACTGGCCCTTTAAATTCTTATTTTTGCACCAAAAGTTGAACTTCAGTGTCCTTGTTTCAGAAACAGCTAATCAATGGAGCCAGTGCCGACCATCCCACCGTATTCCATCCTGGAAGAGGAAAGGCAATGCTCCCTGTCCAGAACAGTGGCCCCGACCTTGAACCCGACCCCAACTCTGACCCTGACTGTGACTCCGACTCCTGCCCCTACCTTTGCCCCGGCCTCTCCTCAGAACTCCTCTCTGGTTGCTGCAGGCACAGATCTTCTCCATAAGGTGGCAAACATCCCCACTCAGTTTGAGCCGGCTCCCCAAACGGGCCATACGATCTTCAAGGAGCAGCTGTTCTGTTCTTACGAGGTCCACAAGCTGAACGTTGATACCACCGCAATACCATTCTCACCGCCGGCTGCAGAGATGCTCCGGGGGACTATCGATTACGTTCAAGGCAACCGACCAGTGGCGTACAGTCACTTCCCCGGCCTCACGAGCCCCTTCCAGGGCCCGGTGGGGAACCCACCAATCAGAGATTTTCCTCCTGCTGTTTGTCCCAAACCTTGGAACTGTCACCGTTTCGCATCTCCCGGTGCCATGGTTTTTGGCGGTTTGCCGCCGATCCACTTTGAACCCAGGGCTCCCGGAGACTCCTGCATGGTGAACATGGGTTACCTGCCTCCCCCGCCTCTGTTTTGCTTCGGTTCGGGACCCTGCATGGTGATCAACATGCCGGAGTTCTGTCACGGCGCATGTTTACCTCCTCCCCAAAGGTTCTTTGTGCCTGAAGGTTATCCCGGCTGGTGCATGAGCCTCCCATGGGAGGCATACTACCAGACCTGCAGACCAGTTCTGTAAGGATGATACACAACGCTAATCACACAGGGTTTACGGTCGGTTCCTTAGTGTGCTAAATCTGGTCCGCAGGGTTTATAGCAGAAAAGACAACATGGTGCTGAACGGTACTCAGACGTTGGAGGACAGGAGGAAGGAAAAAGGTAAGTGATTAGGAGTTGTTCTGAAAGAGGCCAGGTAGAAAGTCGAGTGGGTTCATTTGTGCCGCTCAACAAAGTGCTTTAAACCATAAAAACATCAACCCCTTATGAAACAAGCAACAAACATTACATTTTGTCAAGTGCTATCATCCAAATCATTAATACACATCTGATATGTTGACCAAGGAGCTCAGTGTTTCAGCAGTTTTAGTAGTTTTCCAGAAGATTGTTCCAGATCAAAGGAGCGTAAAAACAGAATGCTGCTTCTTCGAGTTCGGTTCTGGTTCTGGGGGATGCAGAGCAGAACCCGAGCCGGAAGACCATTCACGCCAGAACCACCCCTCTGTTCTCGCTGTTCACTCTTCCTCACAGACGAACACCAAGCTTTCCCGCCCGACAAGACCAATGAACGAGGCCGCCGAGTTTCCCCGAGACCTCTGGCCGCTTTTCAGGACCGGCTGCAAATGGAATGGACCTGGGAGGACAGCAGGGACGTCCCCAACGCCGTCCGCCTCAAGGTTCCTGGGTTTCAAAGCAAATCGCACAGAGAAGAACACTCGACTCAGAAATGCTACAAAAAACACATATATAAATCCCCAGGTTGAAATGGCTATATTCGTTGGCGTTTTAAAACTAAGCCGATATTTCCATGCAGAGAGAAGAAAATGAGACTCTGGCGACAGAAATCGGCTCCTTCATGGATCATCAGGATGATCTGGGCAATGACACCAACTCGATCAGAAATGTAAGCAGAACTTTTGGTGTCAAAAGTTTCATTGATGCTTTCATTGAATTTTCTTTTTTAATCAAAGTGACCAGAGTACTGATTCAATAAGTTTTTTCTTTGTTGTTTGTTTGCTTATTTAAAGTGTTTTGTGGCCAATTCAGCCCCATAGCAGTTTTTGTGCATGGTCAGTCCTTACAGAGGCTGCAGTCATGATAGCCTCTTAAGAAGATTAAAACTGAAGGTGCTCCATGTTCATAGGTTCTGGTAACTTTAATTTCTTTAAACCAGGGAGCATGTGTTTTGGGGAACTTTGAGCCTAATTTGTCTGGGCAAGCAGGTTCTATTATGGCACTTTCTTTACTTTACTTTTTTTAAGTTGTTAATCACAGTTTAAGAAAAGGAGAGCTACTTTCTCCACATAGGGAATGTGAAAAAAGTTGGAGAACTTTTTCAGCTTCATGAAAGAAATCATCTGTTTAGATTTTGTGTGCTCATCTTTTCCTAATATACAAATTTGTTCAATAATCTGAAATTAATTTTGACCAAAAAAAAATCCCAAAAACAAGAGAGATATTTGCCAAAACAAATGACTGACTAAAAGTTATCAAAATAACTGAAGACATTTAACAGAAGTTCAAGTAACTGGATATTTAAGGTTGGTAATTACATTTACAACAAAGACATTTTACTTTTTCTATAAAAAACTGACATGTCAGCCTTTTTTTTTTTTGCCATCAGTTGGACATGGATGACATGAACTGCCTCTGCACTTCAGACCTGAACACCTTTGACTTCACTCTGGAAGACCTGCAGGTAAAAGATGATAGGCACACATTAAAGCTGTTTATTTATTGCTACAAAAAAGAATAAGTAGTCAGGAAAGTTTAAAAGTAACTTTTTCCTCTGTCTGTGCTCAAACACCACGGTCTTCTAACTTCATATTTGCTACAAAGTGGCTCAAGGACCATAAACCCGGCATTTAGGAGTCACTTTCACAAAGCCCTGACATTAGTACGATGAAACTTGTGGGCAGAGCTGAAAATGAGTTTCTAAGCAAATCAACCTTTAAATTTGACTCAGTTTCATCTGTTCTTGTCTGGAAGAACGGGTCAAAGTTCCTGCCGTTTATTCCGAGTACTAAAAACGTCTGACCCGAGTCAAAGACGTCAGAATGCAATTCTACATTTGAGCTCCAGGGACATTTTGAAGAAGGTTCAAAGTAATTCTCCAGTTATTATGGCGTTCAACAAATGTAAATAATTTTAGTAATCCTTATTGACCTAACACTGGAAAGGCTTCGTCTGATTTAACGACAGACGTTGAGATACAGAAAGCGGCTGCCCAAAGACTGGCTTATGTCCATAAAAAAATGCAACATTTGTTTGTGTTTAAAGACTGAAACGAATAATTCCCAATTCAATAACTCGCCCAAATGCTCAGTACTGGAAAGCATTAGTTTTTTTAAAATTTATTTTTGATTTGCTTTCACATCTTTTTTCAGAGATATGAGTTATTTTAAGCGTCAGCATCAGCAATAGCCTTAGCTTTGTCAGGAAATTAAGTTATGACTTGGATTTAACCCAAATAGCTTAACAAACCTCATGTCTATGGTGCACATCACCTTCCACACTATGTAATATCGGACCACACGTTTCTGATGTTGAGCCAAGTTGCTATAGCTTTTATATTTTTGAGGACATTTTGAAAAAGTCTACAGCAAGAGCCTATCGACTCAGATAATATCACATTAATGTGCAGAAAAATTTCAGAAAAAACCTTTTAATTAGCTGGCAAAGGCAGTTGGACTATTATCTAATAAAGTAACAAAATAGCTAGTAACTATTTGACCGCTTGAAGTCACTGAAAGATCGGAATATTGAGTTTTCAACCCAAGGCAATTGTTTGTTTGTTTTTTTTGTTTGTTTTTTTTTAAATGCAGTGAAAGGACATTTCGGTCTTCACACTACTGATCCTAATGTGCATGTACTATAAAAAGGCTGGGCACACCATGCATACCTTCAAAGGACAGATTAGTTGGACTTTGATTAAATTATTACTTTATACTGCTGTAATTGACACGTCTCTGTCTTTTGTTCCTGTCTGACCAACAGTCGCTTATGGAGGAGAGCTTAGACGAACCTTTAAATGAGAAAAATGCAGAGAAGACGACTCCACCGCAAACTGAAATTGAAAGAATAATCCAGTACCTGCTGTCAGACGCTCCTATCACAGAACACGAGAGGAAATCATACCAAAACAGGCCCGATTTGCCAGCTGAGGAGGGACCCAAGAAGAACCTGCGCAGCTACTCTGCGTTCCAGCGGCCACCCGCAGAAGAACGACTAAGGTACCCGAACATGTCCTTTCCTCTGGAGAGACATTTTGAAGATCTGACCTGTCACAGTTCGAGAGAAGTGAACGACGGCCACAGGAGGAGACGTGGCGAAAGAGATTTGAAGGAACGCTTCCTAAGAACGGAGACGCACAGTCGAGAAGCGGCAAGAAAAAGAGGCATTTTCAATGACAGCAAATCAAATTTCTGCAAATCGGACATCAGACTGAGTCACAGGGCGAGGGACCGCACCAACGAACTAGACGGAGACGGTTACCCTTTCAGAGCCGGAGAGAGAGAAACGGCCGATAAATATCTGGAACACAGAAAGTTCACGGACAAGTGGCAGGAGTCTAGAGTGCCACAAGGAAAACCTCTGGATTTTGTCAGAAGGATGGAAATCAGGAGCGAATGGTTATCGAGCAAAGAAGAACCAAGAGACGAGGAGAGGGGAAGACTTCGAAGGCTGCGAGACAAAAACCTCAAAGCAAAAGAAACGACAGATCGAAGCCAAAGACAACCAAAAGCTCCTCGTCAAAGAAGGCAGTGGCGGTGAACGAGTACGAAGGGTTGGGCAAACCTCTGCAACCTCGGAGCCTGATGAAAGGAGCGAGAGCAAGAGAGACAAAGCGCAAAACAACTCAACCCGCTGAAGGATCAAGAAGAACAAAGGCGGAGGTTTACGAGGCCTACTTTACACCCAATCTGTCCACTATGTCCAAAAGCAACACAAAGGCTGCAAATGCAGCCAAAAGGCCAAATGTAAGCCAAAGTGTCCCCCCAAAAGGACGAAGAGGTTTCCTTCTGTGAAAATGACTGATGGAAGTCCGGAGCCAGATGGTTTTCTGTATCCAGCATTGAGTGAAGTGCAGAAGCGACAATGCGGTGCGTTCCTGGGGGGCAAACCAAAAAAGCAGGAAGTTTCACAAAGGAGAGGAAATGGGTTAAAAATGAGCCGAAGCGATCAAAGAAGAAGCATATGAGGATGAGGAGGAAGAAGAAGAATCAGAAGAAGAAGAACAACAACAAGAAGAAGCAGAGCTCACGAGTGCAGCGAAGAGATGCCAGGAGAGAAGCAGTACCCCGAAAAAGAGGAAAGGGGGCGCCACAGAGACTCCGGAAACACTATGTTCCAGTCCGGTGAAAAAGTGTCGGGACTCTGAGCAGAGAGGGCCCAAAATCAGAATAAAAAGGGAAAGAGGGACTTTAAGAGCAACCTGGCTACATATAGAGTGACAAATACCCCCCCGCCACCCCCCAAAACAAGCATGTTTAAAACACATCAGTTTATTCCTGAAATAAACTAACGCTTACAAAAAGAAAACAAGCTTTAAGAATCACTTACAATAAATTTACAGTGTTGAGTTATTTTGGCACACACACCACTGTCCCTCACAGAGAAATCACCTTTTTTTATACAAATAATTTTACCGCTGTCAGCGGTAAAATTAACCTCCGGTGACACACAAGAATTTATTGAAAGATAAAAAAAACAAAACACAAGTAAACATACGGTTCCCAGTGCCGCTGTGGAGGAACGCTCCCCCTTCTCTTTGGGCGTTTCCACATTTGTGCAATTGATGCTGACTTAAAAATATCATAAAACGTATAAAAATAGAAGTCTTTGGGTTTGTTTGGTTCCGACGTGACCAGCAGTAACTAAACACTCATTCAAACTTCTTGTTGTGTTGTAGAAACCCGTTGTTGTTCACAGCTTTCCCATTGGCCGCTGCAGCGGCGGGCGGCGGGGGCCCAGCCTCCTCGCCCTGCAGGTACTCGTTCACCACTTTTGAAAAGGTCGGGTCGGTCGTCAGCACTCGCAGCAGGCTTTCTGTTAAACATTTAGACACTTTGGTTTTAGTAAAAGTTGTGTTTGATCAACAAAAAATAAAAAATAACAACTGTGAATGCGCACCTTCAGTAAGCTTCCCCTGACTGGAGGCCTCGGTATACAGAGCATCAGTGTTGTGCTGTGGAATGCCAAGCAGCGCCCCCATGAGGTCTGAGAGCTCCTCTGCATGTAAGCTGCCTTTTGATTCCTGGTCAAACAGCTGGAAGGTAGGAGAACAAAGGAGAGCATTAAACAGGTAAAAAGTAAGGCTTTTTTAATGACACCTTTAGTAATCTTTAAGTCCAATCAAGACTCAAACAACAAGAATAGTGGCAACTGAGACATTTTAAGGCCTACATTTCAGATATATGAATTTAAGAATCCGGGACATCCTGATTAAAATGTACATTTCTAAGAATGTGTCGCGCTCAAATTTAAGACCCATAACTTCTGCTGAACAAGCAAGAGACTTACTGTAAAAGCAGAGTGAAGCAGGGCCTTGAAGGTTGTGATGTTGCCAAGAGCTGAGATGCTGAAGTAAAGCTGTCTGAGGTCCACCGTTTCATCCTGACGGCAAACACAAAGACAGAGCCCACACGTGTCAACAAATGTTTCATCTGAAACGTTATTCTTCAGATTTGCTTTTTTTTTATTTACTGAAATGAAAAGCATTCACAGATTACTGACTAATATACTCTGAAAACAGAGCAAATTTCTTACTTTGCCACACCTTCAAGGGCCGTGATTGTTTCAATGATTGTTTAAAGGAAAGGCTGAAAAGCTTCATTGAGACAAGTTTCAAAATCTTTTAAAACGTTTGGTTAGGGCTGAAACGATTAATCGGATTAATCATGATGAATCGATTATTGGAATAATCGTCAATTAATTTAATGACCAATTAATTGTTGCAGACACACACAAACACACACAAAAAGGCCATTTCTTAAATAAAAAACCCCAAAACAACACCAACATTGAGAGCAGTGATTAAGCCAAATTTGTACAGAAAAGAGATACATTTCATTGAGTTTCACCCAAAACTCAAACAAAACATGTTTTCTTGGAATAAAACAAAACATGTTTTTGCTTCATTCAGACCCAAACAACTGACTTCACCTTTGAGTATAAGCCACAGATGGAGACAGCCGTTTGGTGATCCTTCAGGGAGAGAATAGAAGAGAGTTCGTCTGCACTGGCCTTTGACCCCTGAGCTCCAGACCGACATCTGTCAATCATTTTGTCCAGAGCCGCTTTGATTTCACAAGCCAGTCTGAGAGACAGAAAAGGAAGACAATGGTTAGATTAAATAACATCAAACAGCTTTGGTTCAGAGATTTAAAAACCACGAGAAGAGTTCTTACCCATTTTTATGCAGAAGAGACAATGTTTCCCTGCCAGGAGGTTCCAGCGGTAGAGACAGGCCACCCAGTTTGCTCACAGGGACCGTGCCCTCCATCACATGGTCTGTGGCTGGGACTCCTAACGCCCTGTAGAGCAGCGAAGAACCGTTAGAAAGCGGACCAGGTTTAGTCCGAAACTAAGGCGTATCTTTACTGCTAATCAAAAACAATTTAAAGCTTGAATAAGGCTCAGCTGCTACAACTGGTGGCAGAAATCTGCAAGTGTTTCTCAAAGCCAAGTGATGTAATAAAACCTGTTTTTCCTGTTCTTAAATATCACTGCTGTGTTATTAATATGGTCGACAGTGCCTCATGACCTTCTTGTGTCTAGGCCTGTCAATTTTGCTGGACGATTAATTGTCCCAGGAATAATTGCGATAAGCGATAATATTGTGGCTTTGATACCAGTTTCAAGTCATATATTGATAACGGCATCATAATGCTAGTTCACGTTTGCAAATTTTGTGAAGAATTCTTAACACTGGACTGGAAGATATTTTAAATACCCAAATTAGAGATTCACAATATATCGGCACTAACGTCATTTTCTAACATATTGGTATCGACTGAGTCAATATGAATAACCGATATTTATTTCTAACTTGATGCCGTTCGTTTCTCGTTGGGATTTTTTTCTCTAAAGGCGTCAAAACAGTTTAAGCATGTCAAAAATATAGTAAATATTGGTCATTGGCCAAAATATGGACATCAATACTGGCCCAAATTTTTATATATCGGTGAAATAAAATCAAAAATAAAATACGACAACCAAAACCAATGAATAAAACCTACTTACATCCAAAATCATAAATATATCTGATTGAGATTACTCTGTAAACAAAATTGCCCTTCAAAAGATATTTTGAAATGATCAAACTCATTTTAATTTATCATGCGAGTCATTGATTAGTTGTTTAGTTGATTAGTGGCTTATTGCGACAGGCGTGGTCGTCTCATTACTTGGCCATGAGTCTCTGAACATTGTCAGCGTACAGGCTGGCGTCATTCTTCTCCTCGTGAGTCGGGTTATAAACAGGCAGGTACTGGAGAACAACAAAACATATCATTTACTCACAGTTTTAGTTTTTTTTTTTGTTATAAAAACACCTTAATTGAGAGGTAAAACATTTTAAGAAAAAAAAAAAAGCTGGGTAAATACAGCTTCATATCTGCTGCACCTCTTAGAGCAGCCAACTCCCTGAGTACACATATTTATGACTTTATGGTAAGGAAACAGGGTGGGGGGGGCCATATGATTCTTACCTCAACAGTCATGTTTGTATAAAACTGTGAAGCAGTGTGCCAGAGAGTCTGGGTCCTAAAAAAACAAAGACAAAATGATGAAATGACACAATTGTGAGAATGCATGGTGTGATAATTATGCTATGGAAGTTTAAGAAAATAGTTTAAATAAATACTGCCAGATTGAATGTGCTTAATTCATCAAAATACAATCCTTAGTATGGAAAACATGAATTCTAATGCAACTTCTTGAGATTTACCCGTCACGTCTTGAAAAACTTAAACATTTCCAACAAGATGTCAAAATGATTTTTTTCTCCTCACACTTTCTTCCACACTTGAATACACTTGTACATAAAGCAACCAAAACATTTTTTTCCTCATTTCTGCCTCTCAGATTGATCAGTTTCTAAAGGGCCATTTTAATAGAACAATGACCTTCAAGTATTAGCAGAACAATTTTGTTATTGTTGGTTTCAGCTGAGGTTCTGTTAATAATACTCTTAATCAGGTGTAAATTCAAATGAGTTGGTCCAAAAGGCTGAAGCTAATAGCTAGTCTGCGAGCAGCCAAGGTAACGGCAGCGAGCTGCAGTTTGAAAGTCAAATACAGTCTTAATAATGTCCTCGCAATTTATGCAAATGCTAATTTATGGCCTTTATGCAGAGGATGCAAACTTACATAGAAGCTGATATGGAGGCTGTGAGTCAAAAATTATCCGTGTCAAATGCAAACTAATATTATAATATTTAAAATGTTTATAGCAAGCAAAGCAAAGCTGCACTCAAACACTGGCATTGTTTGCTTTATTCTTCCGACAGGCAACACTTTTTAGGCCAGTTGTGATATGCGTTTCATATGGGAAGCTTATTGCTCCAACCTGCATTTCCTGTACGTTGTTACTTGCTTTACTGCAAACAAAACTCAATTTAAATTTGATTGGTGTTTAAAGGTTTATCAAATAGCATTTGAGTAAACTAATGAGACCCTTTGAGACTACATTTGGCAGGCCACTTTGGTCTCAATCCCTCACAAAATTAGCCGTTAGCTTTCAGGTCCAGCTAATATGGATTTATACTAACATGATGTTACGCTAAACTACGCTATTCGCTATGGACCTCCTTTTGACCAGTGTGTAATCACCTGGAACTGCTTTTCATCTTTATCCCCATTGACAAATGTCATACAGATACATTTATTAATGTTCATATTGATGAACTTTGCTGTCATCAAGAGGTCAGAGCGTGAATAACATCAGATTTTGGTTTTACGCTGTATTTTACGTAACGAGAATAGAATAAGCTACAATATAATTGATAAAAACAGTACTACCAACTATAGTCTTACTTAACTAAAGTGATGCAAAGCATAACCTCTGATTTAGCTGATTAAATGATCAGACATTATGAATGTTTGTCGCTTATCAGACCAATCTAATGTACTTTTATACGCTTGTGTTGCATATTTACCTCCTTTTAATCAAACCCATACAGGCTTAATTCACTGCAACGCAACACAAGCATGAGAAGACACAAATAAGCTAGTTTAAAGAACTCACCATGACGCCCCTTTATACGTCCATCGAACGGTGTCCTGAGGAAGAGCCATAAAAACACAGACCAAACAGTGTAAGCTGGACAAAAACGGCTTTATCTCAGACCAGGTTTCTTTTATGCCTCCCATTTCCCCATGTAAAACACAGTGTGCAAACACTGAACTAAACAGTGTTTGCAGTCATCTTTAGAAACAAACAGTCAAAAATGCCAGCTGGCAGAGACCAGCTGCCAAACGACATAAGGCTTACATTGTACACATGTGCAAATGCAAATTCACACATGTGCATTTATGATGCAATACCAAAAAACAACAAGAACAGTAAAAATAGAGTAGAGGCAAACCTCACTTTCTACAGCTCTCTAAATTTATGGTCAGAGCCACCAACAGCCAGCGACTGATCCGACTCATGGTTCAGCACTGGGTCATTTGCATGACCAGCGCGGGCCTTTTATGACATCTTGGTGTCCGGTACATGAACAACACTCAGCATTTTTCGGTACACAAACATTTGTATTCATGTGGCTGAAGCTAACCACTTCCTGTGGAGTTTCCACACCTGGATTAGGGATCAAAAACTTGCAAAACTTGTTACATTTTCAGCTGATCCAGTTAGCTTTCACACTTCCGTGTGTCAAATGATCCCAACACTTTGAAAAACCTGTCCTCCCTCTTTCCCCTCACCTGTGGTGCTGCTGCTGTGCCAAGAACGGCTTTAGGGAACAAAACAAAAACCTCTGAAGAAGGTAACCGTGTGACGAACTCATTGCTGGTTTACTCCAGTTTGATTATCATAGTTTAGACTTTATAAGGATTGCGACACAGACTGACCAGGCCAAACAATGCAATGGTGCCAACAACAAACAGTCAACAGAAACCACGACCACCCCGCGCAGCCGCTTCCTCATCCAGCGCATTCATACATGGTGACGGTCACGCACACATCGACACACCCACCAGCCAAGGATCGAAGCTACGTGCTCCTGTCACATCAGTAATGACTTATTTTATTCATTTGGCTCTTACCGAAGGTGTGAGCGGAATTTCCTTGTTTGTGAAATGTTAACAAAAAGGGAGAGGCATCAGATTTCAGCGGCTGTAGGATTTCTGTTTTGTTTTGGTGAAGTACCACAAGACGTTTCTCTCACAAAGACTCTTGTGTTTGTTTCAGATATATTTACCCAGAATACCATGCGTTGTGGTACGTTTCCTCCTTTTGGAGTCGTCCAGCGTTACATGTGTATTCGAACCACACCAGAGTTCGAGTCAACCAAACAGAGACCAAGATTTTTAGGCAGAGTGGGGTTTGTTTTTTTGGTCTACGTCAGAATTTGATGATGCACTTTGACCTCCTCAAATGAACCAGACTTTCTCGGCAAATAAACCAGAGTTTGATGCAAAGCGGACTAAACAGGTGAATGGAAAGTGTGCTGGAAGCGATGAAAATTAAGAATTGGAGGATTTACATCCAACAGGGACGTGAAATGCAATCCGTGTCAAATGCAAACTAATATTATAATAACAAACGGTCAACAGTTTATTGTACTCACCACTTTGTTTGGGTAGCGCAGAAGAACTGGTTGGACAGGGACTCCAGCGAGAAAGGCACCTGACAGCAGGAGACAAAGAAAAATGTCTTGGGAAAGACGAGCAGCAAAACAAAAAAATGAAACCACTCTGATCGTTGAGCAGTTCCTGCATGATTCGTGCAAACGGACTGGTTTCAGTGAACCAGGCGGGACGGTCTTGCTCAGGATGTTTGTGGCGTTGTTCTCACCACAGACACCTACCAGGCTTGAACTTGATGAGCGCTTGGCCATTAGTCGTGGTTCCCTCTGGAAACATGAGCATCTGGAAAGTGAAAAGTTGCTTCATTTATGAATTCAATCAAGTGATAGCAAGTCAACGGCATTTAAAGAACGACCTGAACAAAATTCACAACCTATTTTGAGCCACAAAACAAACAAAAAAAAACGGTAGTTGAGAAGTGATGCCAAACATCAAAAATAATTCTATTAAACCAGCAGATGGAACAAAATAAATCAAGCTAGGATTTTTCATACTATATATTTTTTTTCAGTTACTGTATAATTCTGACTCAAAATGTTTTTTCAGCAGAGGAAGAAATAACTAGGACTGAAACAATTAATCAGATTAATCGTGATGAATCAATTACTGATATCGTCAACTAATTTAATAATTGGTTAATCATTAATTGGAACATGCAGCCTTATAAGAGGCCATTTGATGATTAAAAAAGACCCACAGCAGCTGTAATTAAGCTAAAACTACAAAATATATACACTTTGCAATTTAACTGAAAAAAAAGTATTATTGTTTGTTCTATGCAGAACAGAGGTGGCAATTTAATGTCCCCCATTTCAAATTTTGTAAAAAAAAAAAAAAACAATATAAATAAATAATTAATAATAAAAAAAATCTTTCCCATTAATCACCTTTTTCTATCAAGTCATTAATCCGTTAATCGAAATAATCAACAAATCACTGTACTGATAAGTCAAAACTCATCTTTTCACATTACTGAGAATATTTTCTAGCATCCTCTGCTATATATTATCAGGCGTTCACTAGGAATTGAATTATTTGTTTATTTGCTTCTTTTGGTGCCTTTTTAATTTTACATTAAAAGGCTTGAGTGAAAAATCTGAAGACTGGGCCAAATGTTTTAATCGATTAGTCATCAGAATAATCGAGGACTAACACAGTAGAAAGTCGCAGCCCCACAAACACCGATAGTGTGATGCTGAAGCAGACGAGGGCTCTCCGACAGACGACCACCTGACCTCATACCTGGGGCCAGTAGCCTTTAGAGGTCAGCCTCTCGACGACCTTCTCAACGGCCTCCTTTCTCGACTCCGGATCTTTCCTGCTCACGAGCACAGACTGGTTGAACTCCAGCAGAGCTGAAACACATATCCACAGGTAGTGTCATCATTTTACACTGCATCAAATCAGAGCAAAAACTGTAAAAAAACAAAACAAAAAAACTTTAGGATTTTATTGTGTAGTTACTCCCGAAGGAAACGAGGCAGGAAGTGCAAGAGCAGCAGATTAGACGTCGATCGAAGAAGGCACTTGTTTACCTTTAAGCTTCCTTGCATATTTCTGGCTTCCTTTCACTGTGCGTCTCCAAATAGCTCTCTGGTTTGCGAGAGTTTAGTGGAAGGATTTTCAGCACCGTGCGTTCTGAATGCGAACTGGGCGATCCCGAGTGTACAGAAGATGAATCGACCCCTCAGTCCTGCCTGCCAAAGTCAATCTGACCATTTCATCCAGATTCTCACATCAAACTAAGCAGTGCTCCATCTTGTTCCTCTTGGTCATCATGAAACTGCAATTCCTGTCCTGTTGCATCATTTACCTACAGCGTGCAGTTGTTATCTTCAATGTGCTAAATAAAAGTGCCCAGGAAAACAGATTGAACTGCTGATTTAAAAGCGTACACCATGTATGCGTTCGTTTTTTCTTCTCTGAAAAGTCGACAGACGTCGAACGACGTGGAAGCGCCACCGAGCAGCAGTTTGAAAACTGGAAACTTTTCATTGCAAAAATGTGTGAGGCCCCAACAGTTCACATGGAAATCGAAAGTCCGAAACATGATTATGGACAACAAAACAATGGTTTGATTTGAAGGGAATTGCACTCATTTAGTAGTTCAAGTTTTGAACAGATCTGGGTCAGTTAGCCTCTTTTGCACATTAATACTTAATTACCCAATTATGTGCAATTAGGTTCAATTATGTTGCGATTTCAGCATGTCTGACTTCCATTCTGCACCATAAAACAAAACACTTTAAAAGCTTTATGTGTCTGTTTTGTGGTTTGTAGGCTATTCAAGTTTATTTTTAAGAAATAGAGATATGAACAAGTAAAAAAAAAGTTTAAATCTCACATCATTTTTCTGAAAAAAGGTTGAATTTCACCCCATTTCTTTTGGTTCAGATCCTCTTTGGAAACAACGGGACCTTTATGAACTGTGACCCCTGATCACACCGGCCTGGATTATTGTTTGCTGGACGACTGTTTCAAACCTGCTTTGACAAATGATGAACTGATGAATGCGCCAAGTCGGGCGCAGTTCAACCTGCCGTATCTCGGTAACGGCGAAGAGCCGCTCTCCTTAATGGGACGGGCAGAGAAAAAGCCGCGACTTAAATAAATAATAAATGATAAATTGTCAAGTCGACAGAAATGGTTTAACATTAAAAAAAAACAGCCAGATTAGCATTAAAAGTAAACCGTTCAGGAATTCATCTCAATAATGGCCATTAGGGAGCTAACAGGAGTAGATGCACAAATAGTAACGTTTGCATTTGACATTTTAAGCTGAATCTATAAACCCAATTTAATGACATGATTTATGACATTTGTAAACACAGCTGGGTGTTATAAATCTTTCTTCCAAAGTCTGAGTGTCTCCATTAGCTCTGCCACAGTTTGACATGTAAAAACATCAGAAATGCTGATCAGGATTTTAAAGATTGCTTGAAAACCTTTCTTTTTTCTTTTCTTTCTTTTTTTTTTTTACTACACAAAGATGATTTCTGCATATTAGATTGAGACAAAATAAAAAATACTGTGATGTTATCCAATGAGTCATTGTGGACGCCGGTGTCCTCATGACAGTTTATGCGTGAAGATATGATTTCCTGTCACACAAATGTATTTTACAATAAATTAAATAATTATTTGCTAGAAGACAGAATGAGCTCTAAACAATAAACCAGTTCTCCACTGAAACCTCGCAATTGTATCGGAGTCATAGAAGTGCAGCCATCTTACCTCCGATGACGGGCAGCTTCGTGTTCTCGTACCGCGACACGACGGTCGCCAGCTGGGTCGGGCACAGGACCAGCATGTCCAGGAAGCCGCTGTGGGGCGCCACCACCAGGACCGGCGCCTCCTTCAGGTCGGCCTTGCGACCTTTCACTTTGACCCACAGGAAGCCCAGGGAGAAGAACACGGCTCTGCTCAGGAACAGGACGATGTGGTGGAACAGCCAGCGGCGCCAGCCCGTCACCGGCCGGGCGCGCTCTTCAGGGGAAAGGCCGGCCAGTCTGAGCCGGGCGATGGGCCACATGATGAGGAAGAACAAGGCCGCCAGCGTGACGCGTACGGGGACGAGGACGCTGCCCAGGATGAGCCCCTATCGCCAAGAGAAATAAGGAGGATTTATTCTGCTAGTCATAAAGTAAACATGTATTTGTTCTGATACTTGATATGATAACAGGAATGCAGGTGGCTTTTCTGACTGACTTTGAAAACTTCCACACACGCCCTGCCCAATCTATAAAAAATGTAGATAATCCAGTAGATTACAACATGTCATGCTTTGTTAACTGCTCCTTCCAGTGCCCTGCCCTCGCCATATTCCTCTCCCTGTTGTGCAATCCTGTGGCATGTTATCAGTCACACCTGCCTCTGATGGGCCGCTTCATGACTCGGCTATTGTGGGCTGTAAGAACCAGAGGAGCCACTTTGTTTCTATGCGAGATGCTGATGTCGGATTCACAAGTCAGGCAGAAGCTACACACCAAGATCTTAGAACACATGTGTCAAACTCAAGGCCCGGGGACCAAATTCGGCCCGCCATGGCGTTTTATGTGGCCCTCTACAGTGTAGACTAAACACTAAGTGTGATTAAATATAATATTATCAACATATCAATGCAGTTTTTATCTGTTTACTGCCAATTTTTATCAATCAATCCTTCCAGTTTCTTGAGAATTTAGCTGAAGTATGATTATAGTCCATGATTTATACAGCGATAAATAAACAGTCTCATTTATTATTAGTCCCTGAAGGGACTGAAGAAATCTTCAATAATATTATTTAATTTTGAGAATTCATTGACAGATTAACATTATGTGAACAGGTTTTATCAACACATTCTGGCACAACCAGCCCTTTAAGAGCCTTCATGATCTTGATTTGGCCCAAAATGAAAATTAGTTTGACACACCTGTCTTAGGAAGTGTAGCTGATAACAATTCAGAATGCTTTTTCACAGTGTTTCAGTAAGCACCAGGAGCCCCATTAAGTTTTGAGACAATGATATGAAACATAGTCCTATAAAAATGCACCACATTGTCTCATAAATGTGGTGTTCTGTCTAAAAATGCAAAGAAAGGTATTTTAGAACCTGTACATTCCTCCCCAATTGCATTTCACATATAAAATCTAATGTTATTCATGAACATATTTCATATTTTATTAGCACAAAATATCTCTCCCAAGGCTCACCTAATGCAAATCAACTATTTTCATTGCTACCCACTTTTCAACATCGCCTATCATTTTCAGAGGCTGAGCAGAGACGAAAAGTTCCCAATAACTGTGAATTGTCTCGTTTTTTCAACATGGACTCACCCTGATCCTCTGCGCCCTGGTCAGCTTCACCTCGAAGATGAAAGGATGTGGGCGCTCGTGCGATGCCGTGCGACAGTCGCCTCTCTCCATGACTACGACCGGCAGCCGACGAGCTCAACTTGAAACGTCTTTAAAAAAAACAACTAAAGTTAAAGACAAGTTCTTCGTCCCTTTTTTTAAAAAAAAAACTTTTCCCTGTTTGGGAACAAGCCCGAGTTTCCGTCTCGCGCCTTCCTTTGATTTCTAAAAGCTGGAGTCGACGAGGCGCGCGCGCGGCGGGGGGGGAAAAAAAGCGTGACAAGAGCGCGAGAGCGAAGATTGACACCGAGCTTGAAAAACATACCGCTTTCTGTCCTGCGCTCCACAGGAGGCACCACCACGCTGAAGCTCTTCCCATCTTCTGAACTCACCTGTCCCGCCCCTTCCCACACACACGCACGCACACACACACACACACGCACACAGTACGGTACACACCTATTCAAGGTGGTTTTGTTCGGGCGAGTCAGACCGGTCCCCGAAACCGAACGACACTTCGAAAAACTGTTGTTTTACAGTAGGCCTGTTATTTAAAAAAAATAATAATAATAAAATAAAATAAAATAAAATTGCATTACTGCTTACATGTGTCGTATTATGTCGTCCACAAGGGGGTGCTGCTGTGCGCTGCTGCCTCCCGTGGATTCGGTCTGCCATGGAAAAGGTCCAAGAGTTCTGTCTCTATCGTGTTCAATCCACTTTCTGATGGTTCCGAGATCATGCATGAAGGGTAACAATTACGAAACTAGAGGCTGAAAATTATGTTTGTTTGTTTTTGTTCTCTGATGCAATTAACATTCTTGCTGCGATATTTAAAGAGTGCCTTTTGCAGGTCACCTCAGTTAATTTCATTATAAAAAAGTGATTGCGGTATTTGCTTGACAGCTTTTTCAGAGTCAACCTGTCCATTAAGTTTCAAACACCAGAGGTCTATTTTTCTTTATAAATGTTCTACTTGGGAAAACTGGATAAATTGTGATTTTACCATTAAAAAAGGGCAGTCGTGATCTTCTTAACCACACGACTTAGATGGGATGTAACATCGATCGCAAGTAGTTGTCAGACCACAGCAAAAGTTGTGCTTTTTTGGAAGAAAATCAAGAGGTCTCCTGTAGTTCTTGACCAGGTTTGTAGGCAAATGCAGCAGGGCTTTTGACCCATCCTCTGTTCCCTTCACAGAAGAGCTCAACCAAAGCAGGACGTTTCCACCTGATGCTTCATTATTGGGATGGTGTTTTTGGGATTACTCACCCTCCAAGCACTGGGAGTGAAGTTTATACCAAAACGTTCTAATGGTTTCTCTAGATTATTGAAATGGTCATTGGCAAACTTCAGTCGGGCCTCAACGTGTGCTGACTGGAGCAGTGGGAGAAATTAACCTCCTTTTTAAAGCATGAAGAAAGTCTCTTTTTTCCTCCAATACATTTATTGACACAGTTGAAAACATTGTCTTTCAAGCAATAAGGATTTATTTATAGAACATTTTCATAGGCAAATCAGCATAAATTAAACAGACCTATAAATTAAAACTGAGTTAATGTTGCTGGGCAGAGGGTTGAAGTTGTGTTGACATACTGAATTACTTCACTACAAATTGAATATACAAAATTAAAAAAAAAAAGCGATTGAACTGAAACAATTTCTTTTTTTTTCAGAAAAAGAAAAAAGCTAAACATTTTTGCAGACTCTGCCCAACAATTTCAGGAATTAGAGACGGATAAAGTGATTTTCATTAGTGATGTTACGGTCTGAGTTCTGTGAAATTCTCCATTAATAATCTACTGCGAAGTCAATTTTTATCTGCACAGAAAATGACGGTAGCCAGACAGTAGTCAGCATTACCCGCTATCTTTATGAGAGTATTTAAAAAGAAAAAAAAAAAAAGAATGCTTGCTTATCGCCAGAGAGGAAGACCAAAGTACCGCTTCAGCAACAAACCCAGAAGACAGAGGGGGGATGGTGGAGAGCATGGTGGATAAATCCCTGATGGTAAGCTGTGCTGTACACCTTGCTGTAGTAAACATGTCTGTTTTAGCTGGGGTGGTCGAGTCTGGATCCTGATGGCTTCTAAAAGTCAGGCTTTTGTTGCGATGGGCAGCCTGGTGGTGTGGCACGAAGAAGAAGAAGAAGAGTGGGGTATGTACAGTATGCGACGTCAGCGGAAGTCCGCTTCACAGCACCATCCCTCCGCCCATGATCTCCATCCTCTGTCCAGGACAAACAAAAACAAAACAGTACGATGTCAGTAGAGACGTTAATATCTGTATCGATCCAGACATTGAAAAAATGTCTGGACCGATACAGACATTTTGGTGTTGGTGACGATGTGCCAGAGCCATAAACACAGATATATTTCCTCTAATTCTATGATTTATTCTCTTGAGCCACGTCTTGCTTTATTCTTATTTCACATTATCTTTAGAATTCCTAATTGAACTTCCTCAACCATTTGAAAGATTTGCTGCAGTTTAATTTTTAAATGTCCGACCAAGCTGGTCGACCCACCGAGTTTATCAGTTTCAGCATATTATTTATTTTATGTTTTTGTTGTTTTCATATATTTGACCAAGCTTGTGATGCTATTGGTAGACTTTAGTGTGCTGGAGTGGTGCAGAGCGATCAAATAAATTGTAATTTGGTATATTTATGTTCGTATTTAAAAAAAAAAAAAAGAAAAGTCAGTTCAGCAGCGTTTTCCCATATCAGCTGATACTAAACCTCAGATATTGGTATCGAAAATGAAGAAAAGTCAGACCTATTTAACACATGGATCATCCTTAAAGGTCCTACAGCCTTTACCAGAAAGAAAAAAAAAACTAAAAACAAAAACAAAAAGTCCTCAAACTGGGTGTTTCCACGCACAATTGAAGGTGTTAGAAAAACTCGTCTATCACCTTACAGCATAGCAAAGACAAGAACAAGTTATACTTGTCGTTCTGTCAAGCATAACTACACAAACCAAAGTTGAAAGTCAGTGACAGAGACCACTTTGAAAACCTGCTGCAGCGGGAACAGCAGGGCTAAACGACGCGTTGTTTCAACCAAACCTGTTGCTTTTAGGAACCAGTGCAGCAGGGCCTTTTCACAGGCCTGCACTGTAAAAAAGCTGAAGAATCTGTAATCAGAGTAAAGCAGAACAGGTTTGATCTGTCTTCAAGTCGCAGCTTTCGCTTCTACATTAGTCTGAAATCACCAAACTAAGTTTAAAGCGAACTCAGCTCGTTTGATTACTTCACGAGAGATGATCGAGAAAGTTCAAGGTGAAATAAGCCTTTAATTTGGTACCAAATAGAATTCAGATGCCTTCTTCACCTTCACTATCCACTAAGGGTAATATTTTGTGTTGTGGGGAAGTCTATTCCTCATTGGCCCGAACGCAGCTGATAAAACCTTTTAAATTGAGCCATTTTACTCCAGTTGCTTGCGCTGCCCCCTGACAGAATGACACCCTGGTTGGAGAGCCAAAAACAAAGAACAAAAAACAAACACCACAGCTCTCCTGCATTTATATCTTAAAAATTCATGACATGATACGAATGCTATTACAAATTAGGACAGAGAATTAGAGTCAATGTATATTACATAACATTACAAGTTTTTTCTTGTAGTATTATGACTTTATTCTAAAATTACTGTGACTTTTTACTCAAAAACAGTATCACCCTATTCTCAAGCTATTTCTACTTTTTTCTTTAAATATGACTTTCTCCTAATATGAGTTTATTCTTATTATTTCAATTACAATATTCTTGTAATGTGACTTTTGTCTCATGTTACTTTAACTTTATTCTCATAGAACTTCATTCATGTAATATTATTGACCTCTTAATCGAAGGAGTTAATTTTTTTAACACTCTTCTCAGTATGACTACTCTGTCATTCATGTAACATTTGTGGCTCTAACGAATTATTAAGTTGGACTGACAGCAAAAATTTCATTTTGGATTGTGAATATTGCAGCCCTCTGCATAAATTATACCATATCAGGAATTATGAGAATAAAACCCGGCCTGACTCATTCTGGCACATCGTCATTTATCATTACAACACGTGTCATCTGAAAGGCTTCTTTTGGGAAGCGGTGTGTGTTTGTGATGTTACCTGCGGCGGCTCTATGAAAGCCAGCCAATCGGACGAGTGTGTCGGAAGCAGCCCCATTGACTGACACTTATAAATGGCCAACGCCGCTCCTAGAAGGTTACCGATCAGATAGACGAGCCCCTGTAGCCACTGCTGACTGGAGCTCTCCAACAGCTTGAAGGCTGAGCGACGAGGACGACACGGTCAGCGCGTCAGAAACGAACACGGATTCAGAGCGGAACCGGCGGACAATCTCAGTACTGAACACTCACTCGCTGACATCGACATGAGAGCCTGTATGGGCCTCCAGGCCATCATGCAGACCATCATGATGGGGAAGATGGAGATGGTGTTGCCAGACATGTACATGATGAACAGGTTCATGGGAATCTGCTTCAGGGGCCCGAGGGCCACGTCCCAGCAACGCTGCAGCGCAAAGCAAGAAAAGAAAGAGAGAAAGAGAGAGTCAAGCTCGCGGCAAAAAACGGCAGATCTGTCAAATAAACTCCTTTCACATGTAAGCTGTCACAAACTCCTTGAGGAGACTGTCTGTTTTAGCAACGCTGACCACGCTACCTTCTCCACCAGGTTCTTGTCGGTCTCCTGGATGCTGGTGTCGGGAACGGGTTTCTCTGAGTAGCCAATGGGGTAAATGACATCGCCCTGACCGCCTTGTCGGTCACCGCGGCTCCTGCAAGCAGCAACAACAGTCCAGCTCTGAATCAGACCGTTTCTGCAACTTTCAGATAAGTGCTAATGTATAGAGACTGGTTGTTTTGACCAATAAATGAAGGGTCCATCTTGGTTTAATTATATTCCAAACACCATGTGACCAACCAGAGATTTGTGGCCAAACTGCAGATTTCATCAACTTAAATTTAAGACTTTTTAAGACCATTATGAATAAAATTTAAGACCGATATAAAGACAAAGACATACAAAGAAATGCAGGAGACCAAAACTCTAAAGGTTTGTCTTTCCTTTTCTTTTTTTGTGGCACTCTAGCTAACTAGAGAGTCATATGCTAACAGCAAATGAACCACATGCTAGCTGCTAATGGCCTGCTTGTCTGCTTGCTAGCTAAATTGCCTTGAATCACATAAAGCCTCAAACTCCTGCCTGATGCAAAAGTTCAGTGGGGAGAAAAAAAAAAAAAATCAACCTACATAGAATATATACAATTGAATAGTTCTGCCACAACAAAATTTAAGACCTGCGATTAACGTA